CATAAATTTTGGATATGATTTTCATACACCCCATTTTATATTATACGTGCTCTAAAAAACTATTACATAATTTTTTTTTTGTTAAATAACCAGCTAGTGGAGAAGCTACGACAATCTATCTTCAAAGGAGCCGAAAAAACTTACAAGGACATTTTAACCTTTTCTAATCACTATCGTATATGATTCACTAACACTATAAATCGAACTCAAAACAAACAGTATGAAATAAGAGTTTAATAATCGGCCTGACCGGGTCAACCTCTAGCTAGTAGAATGTGTGCAAGTCATGTAATTTTTATCTCCCAACTACTCCCCACACTCTTGCCATCCCCACATTATCAATGATAGGTTTGAAAAGTCAATGATTTAGGTTATGGTTATTGGGCTACCGGTGGGCCGAGGAAAACAAATATCACGCGAACAACTTTCCATGATCGTGTTAATAAGGACATATACGAAGCCACGACGCGACAGCCCATCAGCGGGACGTACGAAGGTGCTCGTTTTAAATGTTCAAATTCTTTCACCAGAATGCAATAAAAACAAAAAAAATATAATAGAGATCAACGACTACGTCATTTAAGTCATGTATGGCTAACAGCTTAATATCATGACTAGAAAATCAATTCATTTTAAATTTTCAAATTCTTTCACCATAACGCAATAAAAACATATAAATATAATAGAGATCAACGACTAAGTCATTTAAGTCATGTATGGCTAACAGATTAATATCATGACTAGAAAATCAATTCATTTTGGTAGTAAATCAAATTCCGACGTGATATAGTCTGTTCACATATATGATAACACGATGATACTGCATTTATAATTTTTATTAATATTATACCTAATTCATGTGTTGGAATAATTGGGTCTAATTGCTTTATTAAATCACATAAAAATTAAAAAAGAATTCCTGCAATTATATATCAAAATTAATGCATGCACATGATGTTAAATGAACATGACACAATGGATTAGAAAAACCTAGAAAATACGATCGAGGCAAGTGTTGTACACTTTGTCCTTAAGACAAGTTTACATCCCACCATGGTACTCATGGTTGATCGGCGCATATCTCCCAAGATACAATGACTATGTCCTTGCAATAGTAGCACTCCAAATCACAAGGCTCCATGAACTACGATTGTGTTGAAAACTCTCTCATATGAACTCAATGAGACTCTCTAATATTTAATGCACTGTATATATGTATGATGAAAAGTTATTTTGTGATTATAGGGGGCTTCCTTGTTTATAGAATGTGAGATAACTCTTTGGAAAACATGTAACTATTCATGAAGAGTCAAAAGATGCAACTCTTCATTTGATTAGACACATCTTTCTACCAAAAGGCTCCACTTCTAATTTCCATTCAATTAATAAATATAATAATAATATTATTAAATTTTCCAACAATCCCCCACATGAATGGAAATTGACTCAATACCATACAAATGACAATGCAGACACTAGAGAGAGAATTCAGTATGAAAAGTACCGCATCGGGATATGTGGCTTTTGGCTTTAAACCTTCCGTAGTGAATTACTTTCGGATTTACTTGGCTAATCAATAAACGTAATGTCTTGAACTGCTCAGCCATTTGTGTAAACCAAGACAATAAGAATCACACAATACCCTTCCAGACACCCCATGGTTGCTCGGTTGTGTTCATTTTGGCCCTGAACAATTCTTGGTTTCTCATGAGCGCTTTTAGAGAACTAAGCCCTTCAAAAAATTCTCACATGAACGGTCTCACTCATCACTCAAGATAAGTGACTTCCCATTAAGAGTATCTTGCAATACCCCACTTGTTATTTACAGGTATAGGAATCATTAAAAGCAAAGCTAATCCTAAATACACTGCAGATAGCACTGTTTCATCATAGGACATAGGTAGGAGATTATCTCCGTAGTGCTCCCATTGAATCATCCACAATTCGGTTGTCCCTTTGAACCTAGATCTTGGGATCTCCAGTCAGCTAGGTTGGGTTGCCATTATGGCGATTCTTAAGACGTAGGCTTTTAACCCATTCTCCTTGATGATACAACTTACTCTCTAGTCAAACCTTTAATTAATTGGATCCACTAGGTTGATGACTATCACTTATGGTGCGCACTTCCATTTATGAAATTATATTCATTCGAGAGTAGTTGTTTTCCAACGCTAAGTCCTTCAAAACATATGTTAGGACTTAAAAAGTAATTTGCTAACACTCGAGTACATTCCCCCACATTTAAGGTTTTTTTTTTTTTCGGAAGGTCTCTAACCTTTCAATACCTTAAATTAAAGAATATCACTTTTCTTGAAGCAAATTACTTTTCCATTATACTTAAGTATATCATTTTTCAAAAATAGCTAAGCCACCCCCACAATTCCCTTACATTGTGATTGCTTTTTAATGCTATCAATTACTAACTCATCATACTTAAGAAGTAGGAACCAATGAAGATATTTTGTTTTTATCTATTTTCACTTGTTATGCCTTAAAGTATCACTATAGCATCTTCCCGGAGAAACATGTTTTGAACTTTGCATTTAGCCTATAAACTTATCGAGTTCTCATGGCTATACCTAGCTTTGATCAATGACAACACCAATTTCAGTAGTCACACTTCGAAGTCAAAACATTATTCTCCCATGTACCTCCCTTCTCGGAAATAATTGTCTTTACCTTACTTCCCTTTGCGGGAGTAGTTATTTTTCTTTCTCTCAATGTTGTTTTCCTTTGTTAATCACAGTGTTTATAATAAAGATGCAAACTCTGCTTGTTTCCTTGTAGGCAATTAACAGTGAAAACTATGCCCTTTGCACACTAACATTTTTCACCAAGAGTTGCATATGCCTGTAATGTTGGCCAAGTCATCACCTTGAGATAACTGTCAACCACCAAATGATGATCATTGTGATCATCTTACATGAAACAATAATATGCATGAAGCACCTATTCAAGCAAGTGTGGAAGTCTGCAGTTTCTGCAAATGTTCCTTCTAATGCCCGGCAACACCTTATGGCGAAAGGAGCATAGGCATTTTATGCTTCAATTTTAATGACCATCATCACCTTATTGTGATCACTAGCAACAAATATACACGATACTACTATCATGCTTTGTCCTGAAAATGTTCAAACACCTTCTCTTTACCAACTATATAATTGTTGGGTGACTGCACAATCTGCAGATGCTTGATACATGACCGAAATCAAACGATCCTTATGCGGTTATCCAGACTGGATACCCCATCGCCATAGTACCTTTTCCAAGTGAAATGATGCGTAGGAGACAAGATTAATCTGATAATTAATTGTAACTCTAGATTGAAAAGGTGCATGGTTTACAAATACCAAATGAGATTTAAGTGTGCAATTCACTATTATCTTAAACAATTGCAAGAGATTCCGGGAAATACATATATCCCAAAAAATCACGTAGGTATATGTTCTAATACGTAACGAACAAAACTCGTGTCCTTAGAATAATGTCAGGATATTTAGTATAATAATAATAGAGTGAAGCCGTATCTTGATTACTATACCCAACACTCTCACGGTTTGCAAAGCCAAAGCGTTTCACCATTTCATATATTATTCAAATTAATTAATTTTAAGGAAAACTAATGAAAATGGTTTGAAAACTTTGAGTTTTAATAATAAGGACAAAATAAAGGGTAAACTGAATAGTACCAGGATTGACTTTTTAGTGTAAAAATATGGTTTTTCGTTAAAGTGAACAGTACCATGAGCTTTTCGTTAAAGTTCCCTTAATTTTACCCAATGTATTTCTTCCAAAAGTAAAATTCATTAATAACTTAGTTGACATACAAAATTTGCCCCAGTCAAACAAAGAGTTCACACTAAGCATCGTAACCTTAACGCTCAGGCATCACAAAATTGAAATTCAATGCAAGGCAAAGAGGTAACCAACTAACCAAGAATATAATAATTATTTTTGCAGTAAACAAAACAAGACCACTTCTTCATATGCAAGATTAGATATGAGACCATTCTCCCACAGAATTAATCAGGAAGAAAATTCACGCCTATAGGGACCAAGTATTATATCACGGATAATTTAATTCTCAAACAAACATAGCAATCAAACCATAAACTTGTCTTAAGATTGTTAGAATAATTGGGTCTAATTGTAATATTAAATCACATAAAATTTAAGAAATAATTCATGCAATTACATATCAAAATTAATGCATGCACATGAGTAACCAATGCTAAATGAACATGACATAATGGATTAGAAAAACCTAGAAAATACGGTTGAGGCCAGTGTTGTACACTTTGTCCTTAAGACAAGTTTACGCTCTATTAGGTTTCTCATGGTTGATTGGCGCATGTCTTCCAAGATACAACGACCACGCCCTTGTAATAGTAGCACTCCAAATCACAAGGCTCCATGAACCACGATTGTGTTGAAAACTCTCTCATATGAACTCAATGAAACTCTCTAATATTTAATGCACTATATATATGTATGATGAAAAGTTATTTTATGATTATAGGGGGCTTCCCTATTTATAGAATGTGAGATACCTCTTTGGAAAACATGTGACTATTCATGAAGAGTAAAAAATTGCAACTCTTCATTTGATTAGGCACATCTTTCCACCAAATGGCTTCACTTCTAATTTCCATTCAATTAATAAATTTAATATAATAATATTATTATTAAATTTTTCAACATCTTGTTATAATATAAACATGTTAGTATTAAGTAACGCAATGTGATAATGAAACGTTTCGACGCCCATAATTTGGCCCATAATTTTAAGCCCTAATACAATAATTAGCATTTTTCTTTCTCTCGTTCATTATTAAGCATTTAAGCCTAATACACACAACGCAACTAACACAAGACAAATGGGTAATGAGTCAAATGATGGTGTCACCATTCTCTCGGCGACACTGTCATTGGTCACATAAGTCAAAAAATTCAAGCAACCACCCTATTTCTCTCTTTCTATATATATATCCACAGACATACCATATTAGGCAGGTACTAATAACAAATTACTAGGAAAAAAAATATTAGTACCAACAATTTTTCCATAGCCAAGTTGGTATAATTTGCAAAACTTTCGATCCCCTCCATGGCCACCGGTATGAAGGAAGGTTCTCTTCCTACCTTGCCGGCAATCGACCGCTGCCCTTCAATCGGTCGCGAAAAACACACTGTCGTGGCGGACATGGACGGCACTTTGCTAAGAGGACGGAGCTCCTTCCCTTACTTTGCCCTCGTCGCCTTTGAGGCCGGCGGCATACTAAGGCTTCTCTTTTTACTACTGGCGTCTCCACTCATTGGTCTGCTGTACTACTTTGTCTCGGAGTCAGCCGGCATTCGTGTCATGGTTTTCGCCACTTTCGCCGGTATGAGAGTCTCCGACATAGAATCTGTGGCGCGTGCGATCCTCCCCAAGTTCTATTCCGCCGACTTGCACCCCGAGACGTGGAGAGTCTTTTCTTCGTGTGGGAAACGCTGCGTTCTGACCGCAAACCCGAGGATAATGGTGGAGCCGTTTTTGAAGGAGTTTTTGGGCGCTGACATGGTTCTCGGGACTGAGATCGCCACCTACAAAAGCAGAGCCACAGGTTGGGTCCTCAGTCCTGGGGTTCTGGTCGACGGAGGCAAGGCCAACGCGCTTAACAAAGCGTTCGGCACTGACCCCTCATCAGCTCCTGATGTCGGGCTTGGCGACCGAAAAACGGACTACCCATTCATGAAGTTATGCAAGGAAAGCTATGTGGTTCCTGCTACGCCGGAAGTTGCGGCGGTGAGCCTCGACAAGTTGCCAAAACCGATAGTATTTCACGACGGAAGGCTGGTTCAGAAGCCATCGCCGCTCTTGGCGTTGCTTATAATTCTTTGGATCCCGGTCGGTTTTACTTTAGCTTGCTTGCGAATGGCAGCGGGCGCACTGCTTCCTATGCCCGTCGTATACTACGCTTTATGGGCGTTGGGCGTACGGGTGTACATCAAAGGAACCCCACCGCCTCCCGCCAAGAAATCAACAGGCCAGACCGGAGTCCTTTTCATTTGCTCACACCGCACTCTCCTCGACCCGATTTTTCTCTCAATCGCTCTGGGCAGGCCCATCCCGGCCGTGACCTACTCTCTCTCCCGTCTCTCCGAACTCATCTCGCCAATTAAAACCGTCCGACTCACACGGGACCGGGTCAAGGACGCGAACCAGATTAAAGACCTCTTAGAACAAGGCGATCTCGTCATATGCCCCGAGGGAACAACGTGCCGAGAACCATTTTTGCTACGATTCTCCGCCCTGTTTGCAGAGCTGACCAACGAGCTCGTCCCTGTAGCCATGTCAAACAGCATGAGCATGTTCCACGGGACGACGGCCCGAGGGTGGAAGGGGATGGACCCGTTCTACTTCTTCATGAACCCTAGCCCGGCGTACGAAGTAACGTTTTTAAACAAGATGCCGTACGAGCTGACTTGTGGAGCCGGAAAGTCGAGCTACGACGTGGCGAATTGCATGCAGAGGACCATCGCTGCGAGCCTGTCGTATGAGTGCACCACCTTCACGCGGAAGGACAAGTACCGGGCATTGGCGGGGAATGACGGCATCGTCGAGGAAAGGTCTAAGCGTACGGCTGCAGCCAATAAAATTATGGGCTGCTAGCCATAACGTGATTAATTAAGACAGAAATTATATACAAATTAGCGTGTGTGTTTTGTTTCTCAAAAAGTTAATCTCAGATAATCACATGCATATTGGGTAACAACCTATGCATGGCAATGCATGGCGATAAATTTTTCAGTATGCCGAAAATACAGTCAGGTTATGACATTCAATATACCGAATCGTAGTCTCGGCACACTAAAAAATTTCTCATGCATGGAAATTAATTAATTAATATGTTGCAGTAGTTCAAATGTATTTTTCCTTTGGTTTGGTATTTTTTTTCCCTGAGTTTAAATGTATTTTTCCTTTGGTTTTCAATTGGGAGTTAGTTTTGATTAGCCAAAGGCTAGTTGCCCCATTAAATAATATTTTTCGTTTGATTGGTATTGATTTAGAGGTTTCGTGCAAGACAATATAAATGTCGCTATTGCATTTGTTTGTGAACTTTATCATAGTTTGTCAAAAAATATCACAAATTTAAATACTGATTAAAACCAAAGATTTTTATATCGCGTTAGTTAGGAACACAGTTAAAGGTTAACTGATAAAAACCCTAGAGCCGGAAAATTTTCTTAGAGAATCTCCAAATTAAGGAGATGTAAAAAATTAATGTCAGTTGGACAAAAACGTATATTTTTAATAGCAAAAGTGGTTCCAACCGATGAACCAAATGCTGACTTGAATTGAAGCAGGTGCTTCCAAATATTTTTAATTTGATTAAGATAGGGTCCACAATAACTACAACCTTTTTGGTTTCCTTTGAAATTATTACTTTCCACTTTCTTTAATAGAAATGGAAAATAATATAAAATGAAACATTCTGATATATGATGGAGTAAGAAGTTTTGTAGGATACCAAATTGCCACATAAGTTCTCAAATTAAAATTTGATATTTTACATTTGATATCTCCTTTTAGAATGTGCTTAAAAACTCATCAAGTCCGAAAAAATAGTCTTAGGAAATTAATCAATCTTTAAAAAGTAATGCTACACTACCACATATTTGTACCATCATTTGTACTATATATATCTAATAGAGGTGAGGTCTACCAACACATGAAATCCCGTCCATATGAGAAAAATGATAAAAAAAATTATACAAATATATGAAAAGAGTAGCTTTATTACCTTCGAAACATACGTAAGTTAAAAGTGTGGCCAACAGTTAATATAAACTGGCCCAACAATAAAGAGGTTGGGTATCAGCACCCTGGGAGTTGGAATTCCCACAAGATTTCTAGGCCCAATATTTAACATTGTGTTACACAATGCAAGCCCATATACGCCTAACCCAAATCCGATAACATGTATAAACTGACCTGCCGAATGGGAAGTTGATTTAGTTGTAGTGCCTAACTACGCCTAACTCATAAAGATTGTTGGTCGATCAAACAGCAGGACGTTGACCATGAAAATTCAAATCCGATAAAGAACATGTATAAACTGACCTGCTGAATCAACTAGTTACAAATCCAAAAACAAACGACGCTAAAGCAGACGACCTAAACCCCGTTGTCATCATAAGTTTCAGACCCCTGATGAGTAAGACAATGCAACATTGCTACAAAACATGGGTTTGATCCAACACTACACTGATCTACTATATGTGAAAGCTATCCAATCAAACAGTTCTACCGAAATTTCTCTTGAGACCCTTTATTTGTTTTTCTTTCTTTGGACTAGCCTTTTGACCTTGTGTACCCTACATTACCTCAAACAAACGGAACCTTCCAGACAATCACAATTGGGGCTTTGACTGCAGACAACAGAAACAAAACCGGACCAAAACGATGCGGTGGGCGCCCATTTTATTTGTCCCAACTGAAGAAAAAGCTAAAAAATCGAATTAATTAATTAACTTTTTGCCAGAAAATTATTTAATTTGCAAAACAACCCACCAATTTAGTACATTTTCAGCATAAAACCCCTAGGAAGGGCCGAAGTCTTCCATCTTCGTCTTCCTCCGATTCTGTGACATTTCTTACAAACCTTACCAAAACCTTAGATTTTCTCATGGATCTTGGATATTTTCTCGCACTTTCTCTCTGTTTCCTCTGCATTTCCTCTCACCTCGCCCATTCCCTCGTTCCGGGATCGCTCGACGAGAAGAAAACGTATTCCCATATCTCTCTCTCTCTACGTAATTTTTTGTGTACATTTTCGTAGTTTCGTTTATTTAATTTTTGTTTGGAAATTGTGTGAATTTTCAGGGAGGGATCGGTGATCAGATTTAGAAGAGGAGCTTCCTCTGCTACCTTCGATCCGACTCGTGTCAGTCAGCTCACATGGCGTCCAAGGTGAGGTTTTTATTTTTCTCTCAATTGCATTTCTAATAATTTCTGCTGAATTTCTCTTTTTATTATTGTTTCATTAATTTTATTGTTTTTTTTTCTTAATTTTTCGTGTGATCGACAATCTGCAGGGCGTTTTTGTTCAAGGGTTTTCTTTCTGAGGAGGAATGTGATCATCTAATTGAAATTGTAAATGATTTTCTTCCCTATATTTTCGTTGAATTATGTGTTTTTAGTCCATCTAGAATTCACTAATTAGAGTCTCTAATCAGTATTAATTTGGTTTGTGTGAATTTCGCGGAGTAGGCGAAGAATAAGCTAGAAAAGTCTATGGTGGCCGATAACGAGTCTGGTAAGAGTATAGAGAGTGAAGTCCGGACGAGCTCCGGAATGTTCCTTCTGAAAGCTCAGGTTTGTCAATTCCTCTGCTTTCTTGAATTAGTCATTTTACTTCGTTGAATGATTTTGAATTACTTCATTAATGCCGCAATGATTTTGAATTAATTCGATGTACTTTTGAAGGTTCGTCTACATACCATGTTACGTATTGATTTATACTGTAAACAGTAGTTTCAACTCGTACGAGTTCCTCCACGCAGTTTTGAACCTACTTGTTCAGCGGAGTTGTTAACTTGCCTTTGGTGTTGTCCAATTTGTGGAATTAGACCTGAAACGTCTAACATTCATAGGGTTAATAGTTATGTTTTTTTCCTCCGTCGTTGATAGACAATTGAACTCAGAGCAAGTGTATGCGTCAAGATGATCATCCTCTTGCATCTTATTTAAATCAAATTGGGTTGTAGACTTTTCATGTCAAATGAGTCTGAAAGGGATCATTGATCAAACCTTCGTATATTCGTGTTCGGAAGAAGAGTTTCTATTTTTTTTTAGCTGTCAAGTTAATCCGTCTTACTATGCCCTGAGATTCAAACCCGTTGCGCTTCTATGTTAGATGATAATCCCATCATATGCAAAAGCTTATGCGGTAAATGTAGCCATTGTGATGGATTGTTTTTAGGCATTTATTAGAAAATGCAAACCATGTTCCATTACTATGGTGTCTTGCTTTCTCTGACTTTTGAATTCAGACGGTTTACTTGGTGTTCTATGTTTCACCTTAGGATGAAGTAGTTGCTAACATTGAAGCTAGGATTGCTGCATGGACCTTTCTTCCAATTGGTAAAATTTCTCTCGCGCTTTTGATTTACAGTTTATTGGACTCTTAAGAAAGTGCCTTATTTCATCTTTGTTGAACTTCCTTTCTTTTTCTAATCAGAAAATGGGGAGTCCATTCAGATACTGCACTATGAACACGGTCAAAAGTACGAACCGCATTTTGATTATTTTCATGACAAGGCTAACCAACAATTGGGTGGCCACCGTATCGCCACTGTATTAATGTATCTCTCTAATGTTGAAAAGGGTGGGGAAACAGTCTTTCCCAATTCGGAGGTAATGGATTACTTGCAAGACTGAATTCGTTTGCCCTCCTTTTCTTTCTCCTTCCTTACCTCTTGAATTTCATTCATCTTCTTATGCGTTGACAGGGAAAACTGTCTCAAATTAAGGATGACGACGCTTCTGATTGTGCTAAAGACGGCTATTCAGGTATCACATTATGATATGGTTTGAAATTCATGTTCTGTGTAAAGTGCGGAAGGGGGTAGTGAATTATAGTTTGAAATGCATACAAAACATATTTGCTGTTATACTGTTTTATATGTGTTGTAGTCACTTATTTACTATGTCTATGTATCCCTACAGTGAAACCGTACAAGGGTGATGCCCTGATGTTCTTCAGTCTCCATCCCAATGGAACCACCGATCCAAGCAGCTTGCACGGGAGTTGCCCTGTCATTGAGGGCGAGAAATGGTCTGCAACCAAGTGGATTCATGTGAGATCCTTCGAGAAGTCGCTATTAAAGTCTGCAACTGGCAAGGGTTGTTCAGACGAGAATGATAACTGCCCCCTTTGGGCTAAAGCCGGTGAATGTCAAAAGAACCCGACTTATATGATAGGCACACAGGGCCTTCCTGGATATTGCAGGAAGAGTTGCGATGCGTGTTCGTCCTAAGGGAGGTCAATATTTACAGAGCGCGGTTAAATGCTTAGGTGTACATAACATTGAGCTCTGCCATAGTGAGATATATGTTCGGAGCTGCTGTGCCCCAGATGGAAACTTTAGAACATTATTCATTTGTTGCGCAGTTTACTATTACAAAAATGAAAATTTTAATTTGGGAGTCTTAACGAAATACTCATGGTACTGTTCATTTTTAACGTTAAGGACATTTTGGGAGTCTTAACGGTTATCCCTTATCCGTTGAAGCATCACGAGCTCTTTACCTTGACGATTTACGATCTCTTCTTCTGTCTGTGAACTTCACTGAATCTTGCAATGAATGCGGAAGCGGGGACATTCCCTTGGAAAAGTTAGGGCCAAAATGAAAGGGAACTAGTTTTATCTACGTACGTATTTGAAATTGTCAACCTAATGCATGTCCGGTTCCAAGTTTGTGAACATTCACGACCTGTAAAAGCTTATGTCCAACTGTTTAATTCTGCTTGTGCCTTAACCAAATAATTCATCCAATTTGAAACAGCTGGGTGAGAGAGAGGGCGCATAGGTTGGTTTGTGCCTTAACCAAAAATTCTTGCCTATGTATCGAAACATGGAGTCGGAAATTGGACGTTGGTTCCTAAAAAAGCAGGTTCGATTTTTATGGTTAACTTCGTTAACTGTTTATCTAAGCGTCTGTTTGATAACTATTTCGTTAGTTCGTCCGATGTTTAAAATTTACGTGTTTGCATGATGAGTTTATCTGCAGGACTCAACAGATGTGGGAAGAGTTGCAGGCTTAGGTGGACTAATTACCTGAGGCCTGACCTCAAGCATGACAACTTCACTCCTCAAGAGGAAGAGCATATCATTGACCTGCACAAGGCCATAGGAAGCAGGTGGAGTAGTTTTTCTTTTACTTTTCTCCTTTCATGTGAACGTAACTGGTAAAATATAACATAAATAACCAAGATTATATCTTTAAGTATATAAAAACCAAGAAATTAACCCAGATTACCATGAGAAGAAGTAAATAATATATCTAGAAAATTAGGGAATTTCCCAATAAAAACAACAAATTAAAATTTTAAATGTACATGTAAAAGAAATTCTGTGTTTCTAATGAGTTAATAATATTGTAAACGTCATACTGTGATTTGTAGCTAGACGTCATATTGTGATTTGTAATTAGGTAAGGAGTCAAGCGGTATTTTCCCCTAACTTGGTTGGTGTGATATTTTGGTTTTAATGAACTCTTTTAGGAGTAAGGGACTTGTAGCTCAAGTGTTTATGATCATTATTCTCTATGCACTCGAATTCCTAGGTGCACTGCCCCGTCTCACCATCACTTGTATGATTGTATCAAAACAAAAATTAGATGAATCCAGAACTATTAAGATATTCATTTGTAGTGAAGAAAATAGACAAATACGATTTTATATCACTAAATTTAATCCAATAGTCATGTGATTTTGAATTTGGATGATTTATGGTAGACATGATCTTTGAGAGAAACCTAAAAGATAGACGGTTTGGATTGTTAAAATGCATTACATAATGACCCTAAAAAAAGGTGTATAAAAGCGTATGTTTTCGAATTTTCACCCTATATATGTATATATAACTAACTGTTTAACAGCCTGTATTAATTCTGTTAGAAGTGCATGTACAATAACTCTCTCTCTCTCTCTCTCTCTCTCTCTCTCTCTCTCTCTCTCCATGCTTATGTAGTGCAGGTGGTCTCGCATTGCAAAACGACTACCAGGAAGAACGGACAATGATGTCAAAAACTACTGGAACACCAAGCTCAAAAAGAAGCTTTCCAAGATGGGAATTGACCCTGTCACCCACAAACCCTACTCTCAGATCCTCTCCGACTACGGAAACATCAGCGGCCTCCCAAGCACTGACGGGAATCATCCGTTCTCGTCCCTTTTCAAGCAATCGAAAAGTGCATTCGCACCCGAATTAAACTCTTCCTGCATCACAGGAATTCCATACACCAATGTGACCTTGAACCCTAATATTAATGGACAAGGATTTTCGCAACCAACTAACGCGTGCTGGGAGTCACACGAGGCTCAGATTACGCCGTCCTCTTCTTCGTTCAATTGGAGGGAGTATCTTCTGTACGATCCTTTTACATCAGCTGATCATTTGAAGCAAGAACAAGATTTGCATGGGGTGATGATGTCATCTCCAGAAAACCCTACATTTGGAGTGCAAGGCAGCTCCGATGCAATTGAGGGATGTGATTTTGTAGGTCAAAGGAGCTATGACTGGCCTGATCACCAAGCTTCTTCAACTTCCATGTGTTCGTTTGTGGAGACTATCTTGGATCAAGACAGTGAGATGCAGGCAGCTTTTCCTCAACTTTTGGATGCTTCTTTCGATTATTAATTAGTTAAACTATTTTTTGATATGAGGATATCCTATAAACTATTATAATTTAGAAGAAAAGGATTCGAACTTGGATGCAACGGACGAGCATACTACCATTATACTGACAATAACTCACATCTGCATTAAAGTAGTTAATTTCTTGTCTTAGCTTTAATATGTTACGTTAACTACATAATGAAAGCTTTAATTTTCATGTCCAATTAATCCTATACGGTTTATACCCTTCATTAACTTCTGCGTCTGTTTTCACCTACCACCAAGGATGAGACCACAATAATCAGTATCAAATTATTTAAGGTTGAGGGAGATTTTTTTTTGGGTTACACAAAGGAGCTAATAGCCCGACAAAAGAGAAATTACAAAATGATGTCGCGAGGTCAAGAGATCTCAAAAATATCAAACAATAATAACTGCTTACAGAAGATAAAGCTTGCTCAAAATAGACCGGACCCAAAGGATGAGCGAGGCTCACATTGGCCAACTGATCATCAACAAAATTCATCTCACGATTGATATGTCGCTTATTACATTTCCGGTCACGCAGTAACATCGCACGACAAGCTTGAATCAATTCATCAATAGGATATTATCAATTGCACCATGTGATATCAACTAGAGAGCAATTGCGAAATCAGACTCCACCAAGACGCTGAACGAGAGATATTATCACATAATACTAGAATAACATCACGTAATTTTAACTTAATTTTAATATGGGTGGATTATTGTTAATATTATAACCTAAGACATAAAGTCGTTGTCCACTCATATTATAACATGGACTCACAAGTTACCAAAACTAAAGAAAGATGATGGTAAAGGGCATAGTAATGAATTGCATCTAGAATAAAATTGTGGCTATAATTATGAGTAAGTGGCCACAAACTCAAAACAAGAAGCTGTTTTGTTTGTTAAAAAAGGAAAGCCTATTAATATCATCCTCCGAGCAAAGGAAGAGACCAAACAAGACGGATGAAACAAGGGAACACGAAGACAGCGACCGAGGAAGGGAAGACACCGAAAGTATCGATCAATGACGGCGTTGCGGAGATCGTCGATGTCATTTCGAAGGCAGGGCTCCTCCGGCCTCATTTGGGAGGATAAGAGTCAAACCGTCGAGAAAAAGCCGACTCTGGAGGTCACAGTTTCGATTAACAAAAGTGACGGGGAAGAACATCCAAATCCAGACGAAGGGTCTCGAGAAAGAAAGGATGCTGATTCACATTCCCCACCAGATTCATCTTTACGTTCTAAGCCTGATCACAGTGTTCATAAATGTTCGTTTTCTACGGTTTTCGGGCGATGTCTGAGGCCTCCTGCAGCCTAGTTGGAACCTCGTTTTATAAGTGCCTCACGACGGTAATTATGAATGAAAATCTTTATTTCTTACTTTCTTACCATGTACATCTGGAAAGATGAACTTATCGATCATCAGCGTGCAGATAAAAGCAGCAGCTTCCAGATACAATCAGTGGATTTAAATGGAGGGGAAGGAATGAGACCTGTAGATGCAGCAGCAGGAGGAGGAGAGGAGAAGATTCTGGCTCTTGCTCCGATCTATAGCCAAACCCCTTGCTGCCAAGAAGCTGCAAACAGAAACCGAAAGCATACTGGACACAGAAGTATGAATACAGATTTTATCGTAGAATTTGTTTTTCAGTTATTTATTGATTTGAAAAACTCGAGCATCGTGTTGGGATTACAGAGACTTTGGATTCAAAACTCCTGGTAATGATTTATTATTGTAGTCAACTTTGTTCAACCGTATGCTGCATAACAAATGTTCAGGCAAGTCTTCTGGCTTGTTCCCCTATTTGAAAATCACAATGCATAGCACAGATTAGGTGTCGATCTTAAGTATGAGGTAAATGCGCCATGCTCAGATTAACGAAATATATTGTTTACCTGAATTGTGAGACCAAAATCCAATACCGACAGCTTCATTCTTTCGTGAAATGCTTCAATACCTTTTCTAGAGATGTAGCTGAATCTGTGCATATCCAAATCGATCTCGAAGTAGTTTTCTCCCTATATGAGTATGATTGACGGGAAAGAAAAGTTAAAAGGGGATATATGGTGTGTTTTCCGATAATTACGTAGGTGGAGAATCAAAACCAAAAATTACCAAGTAAAATTCATGTTGAGGACGTGAAAGAACAGGTTTTTCATTGTAAGCATTCATTAGCTTCTTCTCGGCTGTGCTTAAATGAAGATCCTCCAAATTTGCCACTCGGCCCAAAATTTTCAATCTTTCCCTGAAGGGTGCAATTGTATCGACAGGGAATCCTCTAACTCTCTCCACTTCGTCATTGATCAGTCTCTGTCACGGAATTAACCAAGGACACAGAATAATTAATAAGCTATACATACTAAATCAACACAATGAGCGAGTCTTGAGTCTACTATACGATAATCAGGAACCGGACACATCTAGAGTTTCACGCAGCTTACAGTGATACTTTCTCGGAAATGAGGGGGAAGCTCTTTGGAATAAGTTTCAGAAATCTTATAGTACATAACCAAGTTCATTCCTTCTCCATCACTATCGCCTTGAAAAAAATTGGCTGGATAAAGTGGTATCTGTAGCATAGAAGATTCACATAGAATTAGCAATTAGGGAAAAATTACAAAGAATGTTTAGCCAAAGAAAAAAACGATTTCCGAACCTAGAGGACAAACAGATTATGAACATACCAACAGGTTTAGCATGGAACATTATTATTATTATTTAAAGCGAAACGAAATAAGTTCAGAGTAATTTGTGAAGAATAGGCACCTGAACATTTACAACAAGAATAGACGGGATGTCTCCAGTGGTACTCACAACTGGAAGTTCCACAAAACGAGCAATGTGATCAATCTTTTTCTGAGATACGAAAATATCAGCGGCGAAAGGATAAAATGCAGCGCAGCTCGGAGCAATTTCTTTCTTTTTATCCCTGTCAAGCAAATGAAGAGTTGATATACAGACAAATCAGACAGATTGTTCCAAGAAAAAAAGAAATCGATCAATTCTATTGAAAGTACTAAGCTCTCACCTAAGATAATTTTTACCCCGGACTTTGAATGTATTTGGCTCGAGAGGTGACCAACAATCTGGAATTCTCTTCTCAACGGGACAGTACGGAATTGTAGAACCGGCAAGTGGTCTTTTCGCAAGCGTTCTGGGGGAAACTAACACGAACACAGAAGATTAAGATCAGCTGCCAATCCACATTGTTAAGTAGCACGATTTAACATCACAATACTAACAAAACGGCAAGTATACGGGCAAAACTCACGTAATGTGGGGGTGGAATCAGCTGCAGCTGCAGCACTAGCAGAATGCCCTTCCCTCCATTTAAAGGAAAGGACTTTCCTCCTCAAGCTTGGCGCGGCCGGGGTTATTCTTTTGTCGCCCAACGGGCTATTGGAAGTGGAAGGAAGACAAGGCAAGCAAGAAGTTTGAAGAATCCAACAATGATCCAGTCCCTGCATCTTGTCCCCTCCGCCAATTTCATCCACAGTCACCTCCGCGGACACAGCGGAGGTGGAATGCAATGGCGGCGGTTTCAGTGCCAGCCGAGAAAGACCTCTCGGTGAAGACACACTCAATGTGGATGCACTTTCCGACTCGTGTAATGACATCACATCTGCAAACCAATACAAAGCAACCCACTTTTCAACTCCACCGTTCACTTCCTACAACTACTCTTGCACAAACTCGCTTTAACTACAAAATTCAGGCCAAATTCCTACGCAATTATTTAAAAAAATGGAAAAAAAAATTACTGAAAATTGAGAAATGAAAAATACCATCATGAACACTGTAAAATTCGTCATCTCGCTCCGACTCGATCGCCGAATTCGCATCAAAAAACGATGCATCCATACTTCCTGCTGGACAGAACTCGTCCAATTAAATAAAATAAAAAGAAAAACGGAAACCCAACGAATCAAAAGAGTAAATTAAAGACCTTGGTGTGTAGGAACGGAGTGAGAGCGATCGGAGGCCGACGAAACGCGCCGGGGAATGACTCGCCTCCGGCGGCGGGCGCCGCCGTCATTCTTCTTCTTCTTCTTGAATCCGAAACTGCAGCCCTTCGGCCTCGAAGCACAAGCCCCCATTTCCCCCAAAACTAAATTCCCTCACTTTCCAATCGGATTGGGCAGCTTGTGCTTCTGCTACTGCTCCTCCACTCTCTGATCGATCGATTGATTAAAAATTAAATACTTAAACTAATTAATTAATTAATTATCAAGATTCGACGCCTCTTTCTCTCTCGCTTGCGGCATCGTAACTGGCCAAAGTTGGTGGGCGAGTCCAGTTTAGAGATTTTCCAACGTCACCGGTATACGGCGTGTATTAATGATGTGATATATTATATATGAGTTGAGAAGTTAATAATTTAAAAAATAAATTTTTTTATAATTTTTATAAAATACGTGATGTATTATTTATATTTTTGTTATCATCATAATGAAATTTTTTTGGAAGCAGATTATCTACCTTCTGTTTGGTACTTTTATTTATCATCTTCTATTTATATGGTCACGATTAAGTCACGTAAATATTTTATATTCTTATTATTTTTTATCTTATTATTTTTATAAAAATAATTAATATAAATATTAACGTGTCTTTATATGACCGCACAAAATAGAAGAGGATGAGAAGGGGTGTGAAGACAATCTGCCACCAATTTTTTTTCCAGTTTCAGTGACGCGGTCTTTCCACGCATGAAATCGACGGCCTACCGAATGCCGCGTGGCAGGGTGATCGTGATCGTGATAGCTAGATACCATGTGTTCCATGCGTTAGTGTATACTGACGTGTCTCAGTTTGCGAGATCCTGTTTGGTGACGCTATTGGTGGATAGATTCGGACACGTGTGGACGCGTTAACAAGGCACCGGGTTCGAGGAAGAGTCTGGTTGTTGGGCTAGCCGACTAAAATTGTAGGCCCATCCACCCTTTTTCTGATTTGTATTGATTCGACACATAAAAGCCCACATACATAGGCCCAGCTCGTATTCAGCCCAACAGAAAGAAAAAGATAACAAAGTGAGAAGCTTTCACTCTACAGTCTACAGCTTGAGTTGGAGCTCTGAGCTCAGGGCGGCAATGGCGGTTTCATCTTCTCCGATCCTCTCTCCATTCCGAATGAAGATAACAGCTACGGAATTTGTCTCGCCTTCTTCCACTCTTCCTCGCATCAATTTCTGCAACAATCGACGGCAATCACCTGCCGTCGTCCTCGCTTCCAGTAAACCTCGTCGTTTTTATACGACTCGGTTCATTCGATTGAAATTTCGTCGTTTTTATTAGAAATTTGAAGTTTTTTTTGTGTGTTAATGGTTGCAGAGTCGGAGAAGGAATCGTGGAGTGAGGCCAAGAGAGTGTTGATGGAGCAGTACGGCTTCAACCCCGATGAATCCTTATCTCCTGAGCCCTCTCCAAACGTACCCTCTCTCTCTCTCTCTCTCTCTCTTTAATCCGTTTGTTATATATAAAAAATATATATGTATGTATATGTGTATATTTACGTTTGGGAATTGGAATGTTAGGGAAAGAGGAAGAAAAAGCTGAAAGAGTCTGGACGGGGCGTTGAAATTACACCAAAGGAGCCGAAGGCCGCTCGAACAACCCATAAGTTGCTTACTGTATGTAATTTCTCCAAATTTTGTGTCTTTCCTTCATAATTTAATGCAAGTTAAGAACACATTTAGCTGCTACTTGTTGATTAGCGAAACGGCGGTATACAATAACATGTTTGGCAGTTGGAAATAGTGAAATACCAATTACAGTAATATTTCTTGAGTCTAAAATTGCAGCCAATGATTACGGCCAATGTAGGTGCTTGGAGGAAAGGCGCGGAGAATGAAGTTGCTAAGTCCAAAAGGTATGGATGTGCGCCCGATGATGGAGGTTGTGAAAGGTGCAGCCTTTGATATCCTGCAGGTAAGTAAGTCTTGTGCCTACGACATATGTGCCTGTATTCGACATCTGTGCTTGTAAATTAATATTTGCGCTGCAAATCTTAGGCTGCTGGTGGTTGTCCTGCATCTTTGAGGCCTGGCCGTTGGTTAGACTTGTACAGTGGTACTGGATCGGTTGGAATTGAAGCTATTAGCCGAGGATGCTCCGAGGTACCATTCATAAATTAGTTCATATCTCTTGGTACTACAAAATTGTTCAATGTTTAATACAATAGACTTACGTATGTACTTTGGTGAGTTCTCAATTCATATCTGGACCTACAACAGTCTAAAGCAGTCTTCTAATTTTAGGTGAAGTTGGGGTTTGAATGTGGAATTTCCAATGAATTTTTTTTTTTTGCAATGCATTTATTTTCTGTGTTTGTTGTACTTCGTAGCATATTATATCTTTTGTGTCTTTGGGTCAAGAACTTACATCTTGATGAATTTCCTACCTTCACCAATTACAAATTCCAGGTACATTTTGTTGAGATGGATCCATGGGTTGTTTCAGATGTTTTACGCCCAAATTTGGAATGGACTGGGTTTCTTGATATGTCAGTTATACATACTGTTCGTGTTGAAAAATTCATGGAACGTGCACAGAAACTTGCAGGTATGTGCTAATAATCTCTCTTTCTTTCTTGCTCTGTGTGTGTGTGGTAACCATAGACAAATGTTTAAGTGCGGATTAGAAGTGACCTCATTGTGCACAAACATTGTTATAATCTTAGATTCGTTATCGTCATATTTCTTACAACATATATACCATCTTTCATTCTCTTTTTGTATCCAGTCATTACAAAATAAAATCAATTTCCTGCAGGTAAAGAACCATTTGATTACATTAGCGTTACCCCACCGTATATGGAAGTTGACTATGCAGTACTGATGGATCAAATATCAAGTTCAGATCTAGTTGGAGAAGATAGCTTTATAGTAAGTTGTGATTTTCTATTTCTGTTATTGCTTATATTTTTGCCAGTTCTTCACTAATCTTCCAAATTCATGGTCTAGGTAGTTGAGTACCCACTAAGGACTGACATGCTGGATTCATGTGGATGCCTTGTGAAGGTAATGCATACTATCAGTAGTTTTACAATGGATAAAGCATTATGAAATGTGAGATAGTGATAGCTATCCTGACCTTATAACTGTAGAATGTTTGGGATGGGTTTAATTGCTAATGGTTTCATATGAAACTGCAGATAACCGATCGACGGTTTGGCAGGACACACTTGGCTATTTATGGACCCAAGTGGGCCCAGAAGAAGAAGAAGAAGAAAGAAAAGTCACTTCGAGGAGCAGCAGTAGAAATTTGAAGGAAGTCTATCTATGGGAGGGGGCTCATGGAAACTGAAATATGAAACTATGATGATTTTTCAGATGATGCAATTACACATTCTCTAATGCCATGTCAAGAAGGTGAGCTTGTAACTTTGAGTCATGCTGCATCAGCCTTAATGAACTTGCATTGTAAGTTACTGTTTCACGGGCAGTATATATGAATTATGTTTTCCACGTGGTCCCATAGATGTTACTATTATGTATATGTCCATATTGTTACATCTCTCTGATTTTTGGACCTATATATTGCAGGTCAAAGACTTCGGTGATAAATTATAGTTTCCTGGATGATCAACTACTGTTGAAATTGAGTTAAACTTTATTATGTTAAAGCCGAGTTTTGTCAAGAATGTAAGAAATCTGCAACTAACTTTGTATATATATTTCTTTTACTGGAAAGTTAACTGTGTAGGTAGAGTTATTCTTTAAGTATTTATCATCTCCCAATATCTGAGTTGCTCAAATTATTAGGTCTTGTAACCAGCTTATCATTTGGTTTTGCATGAAATAATGGCACCAAAATTGCTCCATATCAATACCTGCTATATTTGTGAAGTCTTTTCTTATGTATGCAGGATGTATATGTGCTACATAGTCATCTCCTGATCTTCCAATGCTATAGTTATAAATTTTGTTTTATAACTATATGAAAATTCTTTTCATTTTGATCGCAAGATTTATGTATACATGTGCTACATAGCCTAACTCTTGATCTACCTATACTATCGTCTTATCTTATCATTCCCAAAATGTAGTTGATCTGTAGCATAACAGTTCCTCTAGAATTTCTTTAAAAATTGGTTTCCTTTATTTTTCTTTGCTGATGTGATGGTGGCATTATCTTATTCATATTGGTGTGTAGTCTTACTCCATTCAAGGCCGGTAACGGAGGTCTAGAAGAGCGCATAGCATCTAGTATCAAATTGGTTGACCCCACTAAATGGTTTATGCTTCTAAGATCTAAGGTAAAGGAAATACTTTTGACTTGATTCTGTTGGTTTTAGTATCAGAGAATCAAATTGGGCCCTTGAAAGCACAATATATGTTCACCTAATAGAGGTGACAGTATGTAAAAGTACAAATGTCATAAAGAGAGGTGAATTTTGATCAAATGATGAATGGTGGGCCTAAATAAATACTTTGAGTTTTGTAATTGCAAGTTTGAAAGCACAAATACGCTGCGTAGGGAGGGGGAAAACTAGTAGAAATCAGTAAGGCCTTATATCAGACATGTAGGGTACACTCGCTTTGGACAGAAATACTGACTTTGAACTAGGTTCATGTCTTCATTGTGGGATGAGGGCTTGATGTTTGGATTCATTGTGACTTGTTAATCTTATTTGTACGTCAAATTGATTAGCTCACTCACACTCGCATATGGTGCAGCACAAAGAACAAACATTTTCTGACTGGATATATTTGTAGAATCGGATGGATAAATGTCTAAAATTCAAGTCAAGTTCAGTGTTCTTTTTTTCCTTTTACTTTCTGGCAAGAGAATTGAGTTCTTTCAGGTTTGTGATTGGTGATTATATGTTTCATGTTCTAGGTTTTGCTACTTATACTCCAATCTTTGTTGTGGAAAGGGCAGTTAGCATTGAGTAGGCATCTCACAACATCTGAAAGTTGATTAACTTTTTTGCGAATGATTTAGATGTGGTTTGAAATTTTGAATAGCATCTGCATTGCTGCTTCATATCAGGAGCTATCTGCATTTCGTTGAACTGATGATATTTCATAGCTAATGTTTGCCCCATTTCCCCTCTCCCTTCTCTCCTCAGAACTGTGAGAAACTAATTGGGCTAAGTGGAAGTTGGGACCCAAAAAGGTAAATTGTTGTTGTTGCAACCCAGTTAATTAATAAACTATAGTCTCCACATGTACTTATTTATGAAGAAAGAGTTGGGACCTTTTGGTGGACCGTATATCTCATATGATTGAAAGAGATGCCCCCACATGTTGATTTGAACCGTAGTTCTTTCAATGGAGCCATGGATTAAGAATTTGTTGATGTAATACTTATCTCTAGCCTTGAAAGTAACATGGAGAACTTTGAACATAAAATAGTTAAAGCTAATATTTAAATACTATTAGATAGGTAACATTACTGGTAGCATTTCTTTATCTGTCACTAAATATATATCGTATGTCGGGCAAGCTGCCGAGCTTTAGTACACATCAGTTTCTGTAAGTAGTGACCATGGATATTTGTTCAATCATATATGGTATAATCGTCAGATTTCGTAAAAACACCACTAGGTTTTTTTCAGGATTCGATGTTTCTGATTCCTCAATTATTTGGGACACTAAGTGTTATGTTTAAGGATTTGTGTCTGGTCCCCCCACTTTGGATTGCAATGGCACCCTCTTTAACTGTCACTCTCTAGTTGTATTTCTTATAATGCTATGGTTGTTGTCGACATTGACGAGTCTGATGGGTAATCCCCTATTACCCTTCTCGTGTTATGATTAATAAGAAAGTAGATTTTAGAGATGTACTTGTGTTTGCCTCTCCATAAATGGGGGTAAGGCTAGCCGACATTCACCTCTCCCAGACCCTGCGTAAAGCGGGAGCCTTGTGCACTGGGTACGACCTTTTTTTTTACTTGTGTTTGCCTCTCCAGTTTGTATCTTTGTGACTGAATTTAGTAGATTAATTATGTGCTCACATCTCTTTATTCAACTCTTATTCCTCTATAAGCTTTCAAATTTTGCACGTCCACATGCATATGAATAAAACTAGTTCAAACTGTTACGAGATCATCCTTACTTGAAGACGCTTAAGGAGTAAGTAGCGTAAACTTTTGTGATACATCATTTATCATATATTCATGTGACCGACTGATGTCGACTAGTGTTGCAACTGATTAGGGGACAGATATACCTTATGGTCCTCTAATGAGTTGATTGCATCAAAGTAATTGCATACTTGATGGCTTAATTGATAGTTCTAAAGCATTTAGCATCATTTTGGTGGGACTTTTAAAACCTGTTTGGAAATTTCACCTCATTTTGAGGGCATATTTGGAAATTTGTCTAGTCGACCAAGACAGGTACATTATCAAGTGCAGAATACATTGATCTGAAACTTAGTGCCAATCCAATTTGCTATTGTTTTTATTTGAATGAAAAGTAGCATATGGCCTTACTTTTTATTGTTAATTATTTTTACTTTATTACAGACAAGCATATGTTGAGATCCTTACGAAGCAAGGAAACTCTCAACCGTAGCCAAAGTTTTAGCCTGACGCCTTTCTGTTTATTAGTATTATTATTATAAATATCATTTAGTTTCTGTTGTTTGGGTGTAGTTGTTTATATAATGTGGGTGAGGGCTTTAGGGTTTAGTTTAATTCAGTTAAGAAATCAGGGGGTAGCTTGTTCTCTGGAGCCAAGTATTCATCATAGGTGGGGAGGGAGGAGCTCTTGTGTGAAGCTAGTGTATAGGGTAGCTGACTCAAAGGTGTAGGACCAGCGTGGGGTTGGGTGGGACCAAATACAGGGGGTCCCGCTCTGTTGTGGGGAGGGTCGGACAGGTTACTTGGTCCAGCAATTGAATCCTAGAATTTTCCGGTAGGGAGGGGAACAAACAAACCAGTAAATAGGGGGTTCCAACTTCCTCAGTCCCGAATGTTATATAATAGGGTAGCTCCAGGCTCTATGTCTTTTAGAAACTTGGGAGTACGCAAGGATTACGAGGACAGTGAGGTCCCCTATTAGCTGCATGAAAATACACAAACCAAAGCAGAGAAAGAGGGTACAAATGGACCCATTCAACACAGAAAAGGAATAATGAACGTTTCTGTTTATTATTATCCATTTATTCTCTCTCTCACTCACAGAAATACCTCTCATAGAGCACCTTCCTGTATGAGCCTTTAAATAGAACCAACCACTCTACCCGCCAAGTTAAAGATCACCTAATCATTTGTTCAATTCTGTTCTCCTTTTTGCTCTCTCTCTCTCTCTCTCTCTCTCTCTCTCTCTCTCTCTCTCTCTCTCTGTTTTCTGTTTGTGCTTGCTTGTCTGAGAGTTCATCTTTGTACTCTCGCCACAAGCATTGGTCTTTGGGTACATTCTTTATCTTGGTTTCAAATGACCGGCCATCAGGCTTGGTCGGAAAGCCAGTAGGTAAAACTTAAAGCCGGAGGGGGCTGAGGAGAGATATATACATGGCAAGTGGCAGGAAGGTTTTAAGAGCTATGTTTGGAGCTCTTCTGCTTCTGGGTGTCTTTTGGTTTTTCCTTGCTGGAATTCTTGTAAACCGCAGTGCCGAAAAACCAGCTGTTACAGTTTCACCCACCGAAATCTTCAAGCATTGGAAGTTGATTGGAAGAGAGAAGCATGCTGTTGTCTGGGATTCCACCTTTATTTACGTGAGCAAAAGAAGAGTGCCAAATGGACCCGATCCCATTCATAACAGGTACTTATATTTTCCTTAATCAATTTTTACTAGTATATTTCTCCGTAGCACTATAATTTACTGCTGCATACTTAAAAGCTGCTTAATTATGAGGGGGGGGGGGGGACATGCATACTGAGACAGAAGAGAGAGACTTCCCTACACCCGGGTATGCCACTGGGGCATCTACAACGCAATGTGGGGAATTTAAAACTCGTGGCATTGTATCATTGGTTTTGGTTTGGGATGCTAAAATGGCATCCCGGGGTGTAGGTAAGTCCTCCCCTACACAAAGATCCAAAAGAAAGAAAACCAATAGGGAAAAGCCAAATAACAGTAATTGGAAAGAGAATATATTGTTTCCATAAATTTCATTTCATATATTCGCTTTCTGGTTTTCGGAGACGTGACCGTGAACTTCTTTCTTTACCTACAAGTGGCTCACTGGCTTTGATATCATCCTGAAATATTAGTTTCTTTTTTCTTTTATTTTTTTTTTGGGGGGGTGGGGGTGGGGGTGGTAAAAAGAAATGCATCCCTGTTTCTTTCTTTGTTTGTTGGTATATTTTGTATGGAAATTGAGGATTGTCTCCCCCTTTATTTAAAGCTTCTTTATATACCAAGCTTTCTCTTATTTTTATAAGGAACACGCATAAAGGCCTTGGAGAAAGAACTTAACAACTTTTTGTTGTGGGAGGACCTTTTTCTTTTGATAGTTTTGTTAATATATATACAGTGTTGATCTACTCTTTTGGCCCCATATGAATTCGAGATTAAAATTGGAGTATTAATTTTAATCTTAGGAAGGCTTGGTGCAAAACCGAGCGCAGTGGCTTAGTATTAAACTCTTGATAATCGGCATGTTTTCCCAATTTGCATACCATTTGCTCGCTCGCCTCATCTTTTTAGTGCTTTCTTTTTTGTGTATACAGGAGAGCAGTGAAGACTAGACAACCACCTATGCGAGCCTAGACGTGCGGAGTTTTGAAGCTTCAGAACTTGAGCAGGAGGCATGTACAATAAGTTAATTATATATCTGCATTCTGCATTTTTTTCCCCTTCAGTTAGTTATCATTTTCCCCGCCCGTAGGAATTAGAACTTGTGGAGTGATTAGTTACTAGATTTTTTCGGAGAAGGATAAGCTTAAGCTCACTAGTTTGATCGATTTCCAAGTTCCCAGCATTGTTGCAGACTCATGGTAAAGTTGTTCGTGGGCATGGAAAGAAGCCAAAGCTTTATCTCAAACAAAATATACACGTTCAAGAATCTTGAGAAAGGAACAACTTTTGAAATGTATCTCGATGGTATTTGCTTCAAATGTTTTGGAGGCAAGTTTATGGAGTGGATTTTGCTTTTGTATTGAAAAAAACAGACCAACTAGATATACTATAAGAAAATTGGAACACCGCCCGAGGAAAATCCTATTCTGGTTCCATCTGATGTGAGAGTTAGCCGGTTGAAGTCTCGGTCCCCCATATGATATATGTTGATGTCACTCGTGAATATCTCACTCATCATGTGATCTCGCACTGTACGTATTGGAGTATTGAAGAGGAGTGGGCTTGTAACTTGTATGACTCATTCATCACTCCTCTTTCTCCTCTTTCTTCAAGTGGCTTTTGTCGTTTGTGTTTCCCAAGTAAAGCAATTCCCTCTCAATAAAGGTAAGAATCCTTGAATGGTGTTTGTGAAATAATTTTGCCGTTTCATTTTAATTTTTTTTTTTTTTTCCAAATTCATGTTTAAAAAGAAAGGCGTTGAACGCACGGGGCCTGAGCTTGTTTAAGAGCGTTTATCGATGCACTTGATATGTGGGCTTCGAATGGAATTCCCTCCTTTAACTTCGATTGTATCCAAAAAAGGAACGTAGAGACCCACCAAAAAAAAAAAAATATATATATATATATATATAAAATAAAAAAAAGATTTAAAAAAGAAAAGGGAAAAAAGAGAAAGTAGAAAGCAACGCATCGAGTTGAATTCAAAGTTAAGAAGAGATGGTGAATATGCGAAGTGAAGAATCGACTCTCTGGAGATCTCGTAGCTAGAGCCAACGGGTCGTGTAATCCAGACCACACGTTTAAATCCTATGGTTCCATAGGAGAGAGGATCCTTGTCGGATCTTCTTTGTGAAAATATCAGAAATCTTCAAATCACATCCGTTCATCGTATATTAAGTACTGTTTATATTCAATTTTAAATAAAATTTTACAATAATTTCTGACCGCACGATATACGATGAACGGATGTGATTGGAGGATCCGGCAAGGATCCTCCTGGCTATTAGTCTATTCCACTTGTCACCTCACACAAACCAAGAGTCCGAATCTCTTTTTATTAAAAACGGTCTCGATTACTCTGTTGGTTGGCTCCGAACTGCGAGATCCAAAGAGAATCTGAATTGCAAAGTAAAAATGAAGGAGCTAAAAAATGTGGAATTTTGCTTTAACTTTTGCTTCCTTTTGTCGTTTTGATTTTGATTGATTCGAGAGAGGGAGAAGGAAGACTGGGTCCAAAGTCCCTTTTCTTTGTTGCATGGGACACAGATTCACCTCCCGTGCAGTGCCGTTCCCTTCCCCTTGCTTTGCTTTAAAGAATCAAGGCAGTAAAAAGAAGAATTTTCCCCCTCAAACTATTCCACTCAAATTAACACTACTTAGACAGACAAAACTAACGACATTGTCTATACTCTTTCAAATATAGAGGTGGGGACATTTACTATTGCAAGTACGATACACCTGTATTAAAGAGTCGTTAATATGATTAGTTTTGTACGGCTAAATAACGATACTTGTACTAAACATACACAAAAGCGGTAATGGCACAATGCATGACAAATCTTGCAGGATTGTTGCTGGATGTGAGGGTTGGTCGTTCGGTTTTATAGCATCGATCGACCAGTTACTCACATCTAGTCGAGCACTCGAGAATTACTAGCGATGGCATTGGTCAATTACAAAGTATAATGGCCCAACTCATCTCATGCTAACTATTTGTCAATGATGAAAGTTGAAATCAAAGTGGTGCCGTGCTGAAAGTGGTGATGGTAGCAGTGGCCTAAGTCTACGGATTAGACTTGGACTGCCTGCCGCACACAACTTAAATTCTTAGTGGTATGAAGGGATCAGATTAGACTACAGTATTCAGTGCCTCAGACTATTTCTTTGCCACTGTGTTGTGTAATTCCAGCTGTTGTATAACAACACTCAACACCTCTATTTCTAACCTTGTTAGTTCGGGGGCACGAACGATTTTTCTACGAGTTTCTATCACTGCTTAACGAGAAAGAACTAGCATATCCCGGTTGTGTGCAACATGTACAGCCGCGTTCTTCTCCTGGCTCGACGCTGATCTACCTAAATAATTGTTAAACTGAAACCATCAATCTACAAACCCCATGTTGCTCCTGTACCAGTTGGTATTTAAAGTGATGTATAAGAACTCGGAAGTGGATACCAATTGGTAATGCGTTACCACTTCGGATATTTTCATCACTGAATGCACCTCCTAATGAGCATGTCTAAACAAGAAGTAGAAAGGCTCGGTCTGTATCGAATGGGTCCAGCTGCGCTGTTTCTTTGGTTCTAGCCTAGCACCTAGATCGGCATCAGTTCTATCAGTTGTAGTTCAGGCCTCTAAGCTATCCACCACTCTTTTAGCGAATGCATAAATTGATCATCAACATCTTTAAGAGTGCAAACAAAATCTTGTTTAAATCATAAACACAGTTAATATGCAAAGGAGGTCGTAAGAAGTTGAACACGGTAGAATCAGCACGCGACACAAAATCTTGTTTCAATCTGAACAACGAGAATGTGAAGGTCATGGTAGTCTAAGGAGTCCAGCACGATTCAGATAAACTTAGACGTTCTGAAATATTTTCGTTGTGTCAAGCAGTAAAAGAAATAGCACTTCAAAACAAATTGAGCAGATAGAAGGCAAGGATTTAACTGTTTGCATATAATATCTTACACTGGAACTTCCATTTTTCGATCTTTCGTTCCAACTTTCTACGGCGAAAAACTGGAAAGCATATTGTAAACATCACTGGATTTATAACAAATAGTTTCGTGGGATGCAGGACCTTAGGATGTTTATTGTATCATACAGCTAACTAAAAAATAGGGAAAAACCGGGTAATTAAAATAAAGATCACATCGTACCATCGTACCATTTACATATATGAACCTTATAATAAAACTTACCTGAATACGGAATTCTGTAACCATTTGTCATCTCTCTCCTCTTCGATTCGAGTTGAAGCTGAATCCTTATTCCGTGTCTGGCTTGCGAAAGAGCAATGGAAACTCGTCGTCTTGTTCCCTGAAACTGTGTTCTTTGCTCATACTCTTCAATGCATGGTAAACCTGGTACATAGACCACCTGTCCTTAGGCCGAGAAATCACACAACTACTAGCAATCTTCAGAAACTGCAAAATTTCCTCGTCATGCCCTTTTCCGATGAGAGCTTTATCGATGGCATCCTTGGTTCGACCAGAATTATATAGATGATTCACCCAATCCACAACATTACCCTTATAACCTTCATCAGCCGTGCTGACTTCGAGAGGCATTTGCCCGGTCGCCAGTTCCAGAAGCACAATTCCAAGTCCATAAACGTCCCCTTTCAGTGAAGCAACCAGAGTACTCGGATACTCTGGAGCTACATAACCGAGCTCTCCCAAATCTCCGTTAACGAAACTGCTCTCCTTAGGATCAGAAGCCGTGAGCGTTGCCAATCCAAAATCCATTATCCTAGCATCAAAATCCTCGTCGAGGAGGATCACATTGGAGCATATGTTCTGATGCATAATCGGAGGTTGGCAACCGTGGTGAAGCCAAGCAAGTCCCCTGGCAGCACCCAAACCGATCCTAAACCTAGTCGGCCAATCCAATCCCTCACCACTTCCGTGCAACAACGAATGCAAAGTCCCACTCGACAAGTACTTATACACCAAAAGCTTCTCCTCCTCCACAATGCAGAAACCCAAAAGGGGGGTCAAATTCGGATGCCTAAGCTGTCCTAACCGGTTCATCTCCAACCGGAACTGCTTCTCACCGAGCTTACAAGCACTAAGCCGCTTAATGGCCAGCGCCGACCCATCAGGCAGCAGGGCCTTGTAAGTAGTCCCCGTCCTAGTCGAAATGATCACATTTTCGGGGCTAAAATTATTGGTAGCCGCCATCAAATCCGCCAACTTAACCTTCACAAGTGGCTTCTGAAACAAAGAAACTTGAGTAAGCCTATGAGCCCTCAACTTTTCAGCCCAATCTTCCCTCGCAACACCATAACCTCCCGTCCTCCGCTGCTTACTCAGCCTCAAATGGTACCACCACCACAGCCCCAAAGCCGCCAGCAAAGACGCAGCCGCGCCAAAAACTCCGGCAGCAATTATAATAGCAAGACTCTTTTTGCTCAAGCCACCACACTTGGACCCGAGAGGACCGCCGCAAAGCCCGCTGTTCCCGGCAAAATCCGCCTTATCAAAACGGTCGAGAAACGAGGGGATAGCTCCCTTCAACTTATTATTCGCCACCGAAAACTTCTTAAGCCTACCCAAGCTAGATAATTCAAAGGGAATCGGACCCGTAAGCTTATTATCCGAAAGGATCAGACTGTTCAGATACTTACAGTGCTGGAGGCCAGGCGGGATCGGGCCTGAGAAGTCGTTCCCGGACAAATCCAGGGTCACCAAAAAGGGCAACCAATCGCAAATATCCGGCGGAATCGGCCCGGAAATAGCGTTGCTGCCGAGATCCAGATTCGTGAGGCTGCCGCAGTACTCTATCTCCTTGGGAACCGCGCCGGTGAGCTCCATCTCTCGGAGCTCCAGTTTGACGATCCGATTCTCCTTATCGTTCCAGCAGGTGATGCCGACGAACTTGCAGATGACTCCTGCGGTGGTGTTCCCGAAATCCCAAGACGCCAGCTTCTCGAGCGGATCATGCAGCGACTGCTTCAGCCCCCGAAGGCACCTCAAGTCGTCTTCGACCACGGCGTAAGTGCAGAAATGGGTGCTCACACAGCTCAAAAACAACACCGGAATCCAAATCCTGGCTGTACGGGAATCCATATCCGGCCAATTCAGCAGGTAACAAATTGTGGGTTCTGCTCCTTGAGGTCTGAAATGCTCAAAGGTCCGGACTTTTTAGTCAAATTTGCGCGTATTCTGTGGGGAAGAAGAAGGTAGGCTTGTAGAGAAAGCGAGGGCCATTGACTTCTCTGCGTCCCTGTCTGAAAGTCTGAAATTACCAATTTACCACTACATTCCAGGCAAATAGTTGCATGGAAAATTTAGGGTTGAATTGGATGAATCTCTGCGAAATGTGTGACTGAAAATTGAGAGTTGAAAATTATGAGAAATTTTTAATTGTGATGAGAATATGGATAGTACATCACATGTTTTTATGTAATTTGTCGAAAAAAATTACTTTTTAGGTTATTACTTTTTAACATACATATTTCACCATTTATATAATAAGACGTAGTGTACCACTTCGTGTACCGTTACATTGAAAATTCTGGAATTCTTTTAAACAAAATTTTAATCTTGGTTTAGTAGGCAGGTGTTTAATTTAATTAACTTTAATTGAGGGATTGTTTGACTTAAAGGGGCTGCCTGCTATACTACATAATGAACCGAATATGGTACTTCTTTCAATTATTTAACTAACTTCCAATTAGTTTCTAATTAATGTGTGTTTTATTCTTCTGTATTAGTTTGTCCTTTAGTGCCCAGCCAATCAGGGTTTGGGAATATGCATCATTGACTTTGACTGCCACTGGCTTGTAGATTGGGAGTTATTTTTTAATATGTCTGGAATACAAACGTATACGTCGGATATTATTTAGAATGACACTTGAAAAAAAAAAATTATATTATGAAATTCAGTGTCTTGGACCACGTTTCCGACACATTGAAATTTTTTTCCTTGATAGGATGGAATTTATCTTAGTATTGCTCCACCTATCAAATTTATTACCTTCTAGTTTGGTCATATCTTTATTTTTGTTTCATGTGTTTTTTTTTGGGTCAAATTTGTTTCATATTATAACTACTTGCGTTTATTTTATTCTTATTTCATTGATTTCGTTTAACGTTGATATTATATACGTGTACATTGATAATGTGTTGGTTCTTTGCATTCTTATTACGCGTACATCAATAATGCGTTGGTTCTTTGCATTCTTATCCATATAAATTGAAGTACTCTTCAAAATTATCTTGTAAAACAAAAACTAATATCAAGCTATTGAAATTATTCTGTAATATCGACAATATCGTGAAAATATCATCGATATGGGAAGAAACCGACTTACTCGCAATCTCAGTGTCAATATTCGAAAAAAAAGAGGTATTATTGGCCGAAACTAATACGTGCACTTACATTTCTTTATTAACTTTTAACATTCAAGAAATAAAAACTTTTAAAGTAAAATAATCCTAATTCATAATTTCACTCTTTTTCGATCGAAGATCTCAAAAACAAATTTGACGATATCTAACCGACTCCTATAGTATGAATGCAACAGTTGAATCTTTCCTGGCCCAAAATATCCTTTGACATCAAAGCCCAATAAATAACAAAAACGAGGCCCAATAGAAGCCCAGTAACCCTCCAGCGGAGACGTGACCTTGACGGCGCGTTTACAGAAGAACCGCGACCCGCGTCGTATTAAACTGTCGGAAACAGCTTTATGCTACCGGTGGGCCCCCCAATTTTCCCTCCTCGCGCGCCTAAACGGGTGAAATGACCAAACTAACCCCCAAGACCTAACTGACAGGGGCACACGCAATACAGGCACGGCTTAACAACCGAAAACCTCCCCCCTTTTCTCTCTCTTGCTCTCTCTCTCTCTCTCTCTCTCTCTCTTACTCTTTCACTACTCCCACTAGTTCGTTGGCCCCCAAGAGAAATGGACGACGAGGCGCAGGTGAAATTCCCGACCACCTTCCACCACTACTTGTGGCGCCGCCACCATCGCCGCCTCAAATTTCAAATCTTTTCATCTTATTTTGTAAAATCGGGTGCTGATTTACTTTGGTTTGTTGGTGATGATGATGATGATGATGTTGCAGAAAATGGAGGCTCTGAAGAAGGTGTACGCGGAGATAATTCTGAACACGGCGAAAGAGGCGGCGGCGAGAGTAATGGCGTCGGAGCGCAAGGCTCTCCGGTACCAGCACGATCTGCAATTTACGAAAGACGAGGCGCTTCGCGTGCTTTGCCGCTTAAAGCAAATGCTCGATTCCAAGGTTTGCTTCTTTCTTATTTTTCTTCTTTTATTTTCCTTCTGAATTTTGCATCCTTGAAGCTTAAAGTTCTGTTTTTTTTTTTTTTTTTTTTAACTAGTTTTGATGATCGGATTCCTGTTCTTGGTTGGAAAGAGGGGTTTTTTATTTGTCAAAACTAAATGGAATCATCAATCTTGAATCTTTGTGATTTGTTTGGATGGAATGAATGTGTTGGAATTCTGGAGGTTGTAATTGTGATTTGTTTTCGCGAAAGAAGCCATTTTCTGTTCTATTGAACTTAGATGATGCTTCACTTTCGAAATTGGGTGTGTAGACATCGAAATTTCGGTGAACATTTATTTCGAAATTGGGTGTCTTTTTGTGTGCTGTAAAAGCAGTTTTCTATTTCTAAAAGCGAAAGCTCTTTGTTAATCTTTAGATATACTGAACTTTGACGAAATGGAAGGTAGCAATTGAAGAATCTTTGTAATCTAATTTGGATGGAATGTGAGTGTGTTTTGATTTGAGAGTAATTGCGATTCGTTGCTATGAAAAAGCATTTTTCGGGTATTTTTAACCTTGAAGAAGCTTCACATTTCAAAAAGCAAGAAATCCCTTTGCATCTTCTGTTCAAGCAATTAAATTTTCCGAAAAGCTAGATAGCATTTCCCAAGTGCTAACTACTTGTTCGACTGTCAATGTCGTCGTTTAGGAGTAAGCTCTTTGTTGATGTTTAATCAATCTACTCATTTTGAAACTTCTGTGATGCATCCATTATGCCTTGTCTAAATTTGCAGGGTTTCCTCCTTGTGATGTTTGGTTGTACTTGCGTCGTCTGGCATTGCTTGAAGGTTCTATAGATACTCTTTGTAATATACCCATGTGCAAATTGAGTGATGCAAGAGTTTTATGTATATCGTATGGAATTTATACTGATCACTCACTCATTGTATTTACTATAAGTGCTCTTATCTTAATGGACATTTCAATTGACGCAGACAAGTGAAGCGGAGATAACTTCTTTGAGCCAACAAAGAAAGATTGAAGAGCTTGAAGCGCAGCTCCAAGAGGCGGAGGATATCATAACTGATCTGAGATCAGAGTTGAAACAAGTATGGAGTGAATTGGAGAGGGTAAATAACAATCAAGTGAAGCCTTTGGACGAACAAATGACGAGGGAAGATGCATCATTTTCCTACAATCCGATACCTGAGCCTATCATACTATCTTCTTCAGCTACAGGACATGAAACTATTCCAACTTCTGGCCCGAAGAACATCAAAGCAAATAGAGGTATTGAGCATAAGTGCTGTAATGAAATGAAACGAAGTGTTTCTGATTTGGATAAATTTTTGCACCTGACTCTGACCTTGCCTCAATAATCATGAGACCCAAGGAGCCTGAGCTGCTCAGAAATGGATGCACACAGAGAATTCGTGCTTTTGAAAGAAACTTACTTGATGATAAACCGCTGCCTTCTGGATATGTAGACAATAGCATTTGCCATGAGAAGAATGAGTTGGTCATCAAAGCAAATGACAAGGAGGAAGAAAAGTGTGGTTCACCCTCTTTTAGCGACAACAGCGTGGAAGAAGTTAATGGCCCATCTTTGGAAGAGACCAAAAGGAATGCTAAAGCGCACACATTACGAAGAAGGCAGACTGGATTTGGGAAAGCCAAAACCTCGGGCCGATATCGTCCTAGTGAGCTCATGAAATCTCACCAACAAACTTCTGTTCCTTCTCGTTGTAGAGTATATTCAGTCAATGGAAAAGATAGTTCTCAAAAAGAAGCTTGCATCCTGCCCTCTATCAAGACCAAGAATGTAGACATGACAGGAACTTCCAGTGGGTTGGAAGAAAGTTCGCAGCATAGTAGCTGCTATTTCATGGACAGAGTTAAGAATATTCCGAAGGGAAAAAGAAAAAGGAAAATGAAAAGTAAGAATGACATTACAACCTCACTCACGAGTACTGATCAGCCGTCTTCTGTTCTGTCCCGCTGCAGGACTTTTGCGTATTTACTTTATGGTGGTGTGAAATCTTGGGAAGATCAACCAATCACAACTGAAAATGCGGCTAAGATGAAGTCATTGCCCCGTCTGGATCCTGGGTTGATATTAATGAGAAATGATGTGGATCCTATATCAGGGTCAGCTAGTGTCACGGTGAGCATGAAGGGGATGAATAAATCTGGAACTGTCCAGGATGCAGCAGACAAGGACATGGAGTTGATAGATGTGCCTGTGTTGATGACGGAAAGTGATGGTATTGAGAATTCAGAGGCCCCGAATTCTGAACTCGACCTTTGTTCTGTTGATGTATCACTAATGAACTCCAAGTTAAAAACTGTCAAAGTGTCATTGATGAATTCTGAACTAGAACATGTGAATGCATCATTGGTGAAATCTGAATTAAATGATGCAAGTGCATTATTGATGAGTTCTGAATTAAAAGATGTGAGAGCATCAGAACAATCAAATGGATCTCCTAGTCGTGTGGACAACAGCAGACTTCTCAAGTACACATTCCAGAGGAAGCGCAAGAATTCCTCAAGGAACCCTGGTGAAGAGAGCACTGCTAAGAGGAGGATGGAAGAGAAGGAATGTGTTGCACAACAGCCACAAACGACAGATGAATTATCTAGGGACAGCCGGCGACTAGCTCAGGTTGCTCGACAGGTTGGTTGCCAACAATCCTTTTCTTCATTCCAAATTTGAATTGAAAACTGAGATAACTTGACCTTATTTTTCATATCCGTGAATTGTATTAGCACACCAAGGGCTAAGGTCACTGTGCACTGTGTTTGGGAAAAGTTTACTTAGGCTGGGGAGGAAAGGAGGTCAATTAGGCAATCATGAATCATGAACTGTGTTACAACTCACACGTATTTGTTAAATTTCATAGAGCAAAACAAATACAGTTGGACATTGTAATGTTCCATTGAAACTCGGGATCTTAGGTTGAAATGACCTGAAGTATATTGTAGAGCTTTAATCCCCACGGCGAGAACCATAACAAGATTGCTAAATAGGGGAACTTAGCCGCTGTTGTCTCCAAACTTATTTATGCTTTGATATATGGTTTGTCTGTGAAATCTTTATTTTTGGGGACTACACTCTGTAATCTATATGCTTGTTAAGTTACTGCTACGGGGTCATTGATCTCTCTTAATCTTTCATTTGTTGGCAGCTCATATCATTGTCTGGGAAGAGATGGGATTAAGAACCACGATCGGAGGTAGTTTTTGAAGGATGTTTTTCGACAAAAATTTGACAGACAATTGGCTGCAGAGTATCAGGGGAGAGAGAGGGGGCAAGAGAGATTTATGAATCTGCAGTAATGTCCGTTAATTCGCAGTTTTTCAATACTATTTTTACAAATCCAATACCGGTTCTAAAGCTTCTCCCAAGATGCCTCCAAACATTATTCTCTGCGATTCTCGTAGCTGCTCGAACAAGTCATCATGTGAGTTAGGTCAATTTGGTTATAGGCAGCGTGTCCGCCTGCTTGCATCCGATTCAGTCCCCTCAGAAAATTAGAGCAGTTTAGAATGATAACCACTTCACAGTGTCTAGTTTCTGAAAGTTTGGGCCATTTCTTGTTTACTTGGTTCTTTTTTCTTTTGTTTTGGTCCGCAAAGGGTGCAATCTAAAAACCGATGCAATTCGCTTCCAAAGGTCTGCTCACAGCATAACGAGCTGGTTTTTTAATTTCAGTCCAGTTCGGTTTTAGACAGTTCATTTTTTTTGTCCAAACCAAACCAGGTTCAGATTGACCGGTTTGGTTGGTTGGACCATAATAACGCCCACACTTGCGCTTGAATGGTTTGTTTTCATGTTTGGAGAGATTATATCATGTTATCAATTCACCATGTGGTAATTGATATTTGCTATTGGACAAACAATGTACTTTTAAAACACGTGACAATCAACTATTTAACAGTGACAATATCAAGACTGAATATTGATTGGACAAGAGAATCTCGTCTGTTGTGGACCTGTAGATTGAAATCTCTTCTTTCTATGAAAATTTGAAAAAACGCAGGAACCCAAAAGAACCAAAAGAATGATTCTCTGGTGTTGACAGCTGCTGCCACCGGCGGAGGGGGGGGGGGGCGGTGATTGTGATGTAATTACGGTGGCATGTGGGGTCGTTTTTCTGATGATGAAGCAATCAGGTGTGTTTTTTCGACCTCTACGTTAAAAATGTGATTTTTCGTTAAAAATGAATAAGATTGAAAGTATTTCGTTAAAACTTTATTTTATTGCCTCTCCGTTACGCGGCAAGGCACGCTTTCCAAGTTCCCACTTCCGATTCGAGTAAAAAGGCATGCGCCTTTCCTTACTACTTCTCTAGAATTTCGCCTAACTTAAGCTTTAATTAAATTAAATCAAATAATTTTCTTCTATTTTCATACAAGCAAGGAGAAGATCAACCTTGATAATCCCAAAAGTAATGACTTTTGTTTTGGCAGGCTGAGATGGAGTGATGAACATATTTGATTATGTGTAAGAATGTCTTAAAACCGAATATAAAAAATTTTGCATGGTTAAATCTAAAGTCAAGAAATTGTTAAGAATATATTCCTGCATGGCTATGACAACACTCATATGGAACACATATTAAGAGAATTTAGCCAAGCTAAGTTGCCAAAATCAAGAAAACATTTGAGTGTAATTGAGGATATCCTCTATCATACTTACGCCTCACGTAACAGAGAAATAGGAGAAAGACTTCTATGAAACGTGTTTACCGTTACGTGACGTTCTTTATCCAATAATACATTGTCATACGCAAGTTTTTCCCCCACAGCAATATCTTATTAAATCAGTATGCTACGTGGCAGTGCACATATCAATATATTATTGGACAAAAGACGCCACGTGATGGTGATTGTAAACCTATTTCGTATAAGTTGCTTATGATAGAATGAGTACACGTAAGAATATTTTCACAAACAGCTAGAAGACTAAATCCAAATTGGAGAACTCATCACATGGTTACAATGCAGGTTGCTGAAGGGAAGAACATGGACTGCAGGGCCTGTAGGCTTCAGTGGATATACGTCTAGATGTCTCCCCTCCCCGAGCAATTGCTTAAGTCACGTCTCTCCGATCATCACAGCTGCTCCCTGAAAAAGTGAAGCGCACTCAGAAATCCCACAAAATCCTCTCCTGTCCAGCAACCCAAAGTCCCACAGATAAATCCCACCCCCCAACCCCTGCCCCTGTATATATAAACCAGGAAAGGTATCATTTCCGGATCTCTTCCATCTAATCATTCTCATCAAACAATTTGCACCATTGAAATTTGATCCAACGGCTAAAATTATTATAACTTCTAAAGTAGGCCCCTGTTTTTAGCCGTTTGATCAAATTTCAAGGGTCCGAATTGTTTGATGAGGAGGATTAGGTGGAAGGGATCCGGAGAGGATCCGGATCCCTTTCCTATAAACCAAACCAAGCAGATGATATCACAATTTGTAACATCTGAGAAAACCAAACACGTACATTGATATTGATAGGGATTTTGCCACCTATGCAAATAAGGGCAAAATCACGTGAAATACTTGCAAGAATACAAGGATGTAGTAGTATAGATGTCCATGCAATGTCGTTCTCCTCAAGGACTATTTAAACAATTTATGTAAAAACTATTCCTAATTAACTACTTAGAATTAAAACTTGAGAAAAGAGATTTTGAGATTGGGTAATATTAAAAACGAATTTTAACAAAAACTAATACAATCGAAGAAGAGAGTTTTAAATATCAATTTATAAAGGCACTAGGGGTCCACCATCACCTAGCAATCCTACGAATTTCTACTAATTACTTATGATCTACACATGCCACTTTGAAGGTTAGGTTTTCCTAATATATATTCTCTTCGTGATATTCAAGCAAGAACGTATATCTAACATGCAATCTGTCTGTGATATTCAGATCAAATATAAACATGCAAGACTCATTAAGTTTTATGAAAACCTTTTGAAGAACCATGTAACCCCTAAGAACGTGATATTCGCTTTAGATGAAATTACAATTATCAATCACAAGAAGCAATACTCAATCCTCTAGTGATATTCCGACCGAATTGCATCCAATCACTTGTCTAAACATCCTAATGTTGGCCAGTCATCAAGACAATTAGATAGTTTAAAAACAGTGATCAATAATTCAAACTGTGCATGCAATCAATCATAAGCAATTAAATAAAAATTACATATTCATGCTAAGGCTCAAGGCTTCGCCCTAGCAAAATGAATTAGTTACGCATATTCATTATTGAAATCATAGAAAATATTATTAAGAAGAAAATGAATGAAAACACCTTAAAGTATAAAATCTCCAAAAACCCTAGCAAAGTTCTTTGTCTCTGAAGTTGAATAATAATAAGCGTAGAGAAAAACTGCAGACGACCAAGCAATATATTTGCTAAGCCATCACACAAACCCTAAAACATAGGTCTCTTATTCCAATTAGGAAACTAAGAAAAATAATAAAATATCTTAGAAAATAAAACCCTAATTAAACTAGGAGAATCTGCCATGTAACTGTACAGCCACGTTTTAGCCTCAGATCTCCTCCAAATCCAGCCCAAGATAGCTTGTTTTAAAGATCAGGACGTTCCGAACACATATCTAGAAGGCCACGAAACCATCCGATGTCATCTTGGGCTCCAAAAACGTCATTTTCCAGCACCGCGCATCACTCCTTTATTTTATCGCCAGAAAATAACCACTTGGTGGAAAAATCCCAAATTTTGATACGATCAAGCTAAGTGACTCACGAACGTCCTCCAACTAGAATTACTCCAAAATTCGTCCATTTGGTCCTGTTTTGCTCATGAGGAAGTCGAAAGTCCTATATTGAAAATACAATTCAAAGTATCAAAATTCTTCCAAAATATTAACCAAAATATACTAAGAATATGGTAAAATATATAATATAAAATCTACTCAGATATCATATGGAGAAGATGAGAGAGGGTGGGAGAGTAAACACAGTTTTGTTCACAGCAGGAGCAGCTGTGTTGATGGCATGTTTGAAACGTTTTATATTAATGGTGTTTCTCATGGAGCATTGGCGGGCGTGGGTTTTCCTTCTACTCAACCTCGTCCTCCTAGCCGTTGTTTTCACCTCCATTTCTTCCAGGACATCGAATACTGATCGAAATCGCGAATGTGAAAACAATGCCGAAGGATTCAAAAGAAATGAAGGAGCAAAAAGAAGAGAATATCGATGCCCATCAGCTCCTCAAATAGTTGAACGAGTTAAGGTATGTGAGGATGAAGTGTGCAAGAGATCGGCGAGCTGTGGCGGCGAGAGCGAGCAAGAGCGGGTTGAAGACGATACGGAGGAGGAGGAGGTTAGGAAGCTGTCGAAGGAGGATTTGAATGAGAGAGTGGAAGCCTTCATCGTTATGTTCCGGCAGCATTTGGTTTCCGATTCAAGGAATTAAGGTTGTAGGGTTTAGGGTTTATAAACCAGCACTCTGATTTATAAACCTGTAGTCTGTTTTAGTTTGTGTATTAAATGGGGGGTTTACCGGTTTAGGGTCTGATATACATTGTCAAAACTTGGGGTTGAAGTTCAGTTTGACGCCCAAATATTCAAACTATGTGTGTTTTTCTTATGGGATACTTTGGATGCGGTACTTAATCCTTAACATTATTTGATTAAAATCTTAATAGTATTCAAAGTTTGATCTAGGTCCCTTAACTTTGTACACCTCATTATATACTATTAATACTTATATTTTTATAGTTTTGACATTAATTATTTGATATTTTATGAGATTTATAATTTTATAAATTTAAAATCGCTCATTATAATACTATTCGAAACAGTTACAATAAAAAAATTCAAACATTTTGATTGAATAAATGGATAAAAACTATGTAAAAATAAGAAATAATAAATGGCAAAAGAATGTATCCATAGTGTTAAAAAATTGGTACATTTTACAAAAAAATTGGTACATTTCACATATAACAAAGTGCTACATTAATAAAGAAGAATGGGAAAATTATAAATAAATTAGGGTACAGATAAAAGATTAAAAAAATTATGAGTACAAATGAATTTTTTAAAAATATAGGATCTAAAAGAAATTAATACATGGGTACAAAATAAAACTAAAACGAAAATACTACAAATTTAGAAAAATGTTGCAAATTAAAAGTGGGTACAAACTAAAAATATAAATATATGATACAAAGTTTAGGCATAAAACATAAATATACCATATGTAATTTTTCTATCATTGATTAAATATACAATGTCACGTGGCGGTATACACATGGGTACAAACATAAATAAAACTTTAAAAAATATGGGCACAAAAAGAAACTAATATATGGGTACAAATTAAAAATGAAAAGAAAATTGGTACAAATTGAAAAATATTTGCAAATTAAAAATAGGTACAAATTAAAAATAAAAATATATGATAAAAAATTTAGCCATAAATATAAATATACTAATTGTAACATTTTTAACACTAAAGGAATATATTTTAAAAATAAAAATGTTTTATTTATCAAATAATTAATGATGTTATTAATACCCAAGGACCTTGATCAAAAAATTAAAAATGAATAGGATTTTAATCAATGGAATAACAAAAAGAAGGATGTGAACTTAATTTCTCATTTTCTTATTATATTATAACTTGTAGAGAGACTTGCATGTATCCAACGTATATTTTGTATTTACGTTTTATCTTACGCGATGAAAATGTTTTTTCATGTAAGAGATCAAATAAAAACATTTTCTCATGAAAAAAAATCACGTAAAAAGAAATATAGATACGAACCCGAGCCCGTGATATATGGGTAGCAAGCAACAATAACAAATGAATTAACAAGGTTATTTTTCCCACCCAAACAAACTTCCAAACACTTGAAAAGGTATTCAACTCCTATGAAGATGGGTGCTATAATGGGAGGGTAAGATCGTCATTTTACGCGTAAAGATTGGAAAACGAATCAAATGGTCCCCAAGGAAGGAAGGTTGAGGAGTAGGCATCTCATTATAGTTTGAGGTAGAAAGCTATCTGCAAAGACTATAATCGCATACACTTCTCCCGCTAGAATGTCTCAAACCCATGAAAACAAGAAGAATTTAATTAAAATACGTCAAAATCCAGCTTCCAAAGGATAAGTGTGGATCAAATTAATTCCGATCCGCCAGTTCAAATCTACAAGGTACATTGAGGCCACAAAAGGTCAAAGTGCATAAGATTTGAACTCTAGGCCAGCCTGCACCAATGACGAAAAATGTAACTTTCGTTTGTTTTTATATGGTTATATTGAAAGTTTCGAACTCTGAATCTAACCTATTTTTACTGATCACCGTACTCATTCATACCACCTAACCTATTTTTGCATGCCATATACTTCATGTGCTTGTACAATAAATCCAAACGTACAAGTCACTGGCGTCATTACTACTTTGGACCCCATTATCCATGCTCCCACATGGACTGATGGTGAGACGATCTACATTTTGGAGTTTTATTTTGGCCATTAATCTTTACTAGGAGTTGGGACAACAACTTATCACATATAAACCAAAAGAGCTCAGTGGTTGGTGAGTCGTCGGCCTCACTCTCATCCACGATTGGTGAGTCATGAATTCACTTTCATTGACGATTGACAGTCACTCACATATATGCCTGTCAATTGCTCGCACAATTCATTAACGAGTTAGGTTGTTATCGGTTAAGAATCCAATAAGACATCGTTTGTCAGATCTAGACATTAAACATGATAATTTCTTGCATAACTTGTTAACCTAACATGAAATAACACGATCTATAAAGGAATTGGGTCGTTATCGGGTCACCTGTTTAGGACCCGTTAAGATAGTAAGTGTAACACGAAAACAACACGAACACGACAAACACGACCCGTTTTCCAGACCTACTCATATAGTCCAACAAGTTATTGATAGGTCGTGAGACTCATATCAACAGCTAACAAACCAGCCACACATAGTTGAATATGTGATTAATTAATGGAAGATACTCCATTTAGTTAGTTAATGCAGCATTAGTGAAGTCTAAGAAGCCTATAGGGGCAGATATGTAAAAAGATATTCTAGCTTGTTGATTGGACTTTGGACCCCTCGTAGGTGTACCCAATGCGATAACCCTATAACCTGGCTTTTTAATTATTTGACTTGGACATGTTATATACTTGTCATGTAGAAATACCACGACACGAACGTGACAACTACCAACCTAACCAACCCGAATAATCAAACCAAATGAAAGAGCCATTGTCCTTTTAACCCTCCCCTACTTATCCTAATTCTTAACCATCTCTGCCTTCACACGCACGGTATGTTTTCTCTCTTGTGTTTGCCGCCGGATCCGTATTTTCTCTCAGCTTCTTGCGCTCGTCTGTTCCTATGCTTTGAATCGCTTCCGAACACGGCGGGCTATACGATGTTCTTACAGCTAAACCCGCGTTTTGTTTTTGTGTCCAGAGCAATGCGGCTAGAGGCCGCCATGGTAGGAGGGGAACAGCCTTCCATCTGATCAGCAAGGCGCAGGAGTATTACGGAGTTTCACAACGGCGATCCTCTGGTACTCTATCTATTTTGTAGTTGATGTATGGACATACGAAAGACCGGAGAGTAAGGCATGGACGGAGAGAAACCTAAGTCGAGGAGAAGAATGTTTAGAAAGTGGTTCAAGAGAAAGCATAAGGGAGCTGAACCCTATCAACTGAGTCAAGTTTCAGGTTTTGTTTCTTCTAACTATGGATCTGATACCGACTTCTTTCTTATTCGCATTCTTATTCTTCTTCTGTCCACAGAGTAAGTTCAATCCGGACTGAAGTTTACTGAATTTTTCTCCAGATGGGGGCGAAGATGAAAGCACGGATTACTTGGATGATATTCTCTTTCAGTCCATGGAGATGGATCCATGCACTTCAACTAGTGAGTTGAGGTAATTTATCGATTTATGGAAGAAAGAAAGCAACAAGAAAGTGTATGATCTTATAGTACTTCGTCTGATAACCATTTTCGTATGTTTTAGAATCTTTGTGGGAACTTGGAATGTTGCTGGAAGGTCTCCCAAAGGGAGCTTGGCAGTAGATTTGGATGAGTGGTTGAATCTTAAGGACGCGGCAGACATGTATGTTCTCGGGTATGTTATATAAACTTGGAACTCAACATTACACATGGTGTTCATATTTTCTTGATTTTTTATCTGACTAATATGAGAAAGTAGCATGGATATCACAACTCAGATGTTTCGCTTGCAGATTTCAGGAGATCGTACCTTTGAAGACCCGAAATGTGATAGGAGTGGAAGACCCAACCGAAGCAAGAAACTGGAACCTGCTGATAGGGAAAACTCTCAACGAAAAATTCGGGTGCCCTTGGTTGACGCCCATTGTGCATCCAATTTCTAGTGAGAACTACAATTATGTGCAAGTTTCTGAACTCGAACCTGAAATCACGAGGGAGCAATCAAGAACCCTACAAGAAAAGCCAAAGAGTGTGAGTAAGTACAAGCTAATTGCAAGCAAGAAGATGGTTGGAGTCTTCCTTAGTGTATGGATGAAAAGTGAATTGGTCAGAAAATATGACATTTCAAATGTTAAAGTTTGTTCCGTGGCCTGTGGCATCATGGGTTATTTGGGAAACAAAGGTTCGGTTTCAGTTAGCATGACAATCGAAAGAACTAGTTTTTGCTTTGTTGTTGCCCATTTAGCTTCTGGAGAGAAGAAAGGAGATGAAGGTAGAAGGAATCATCAAGTCGCAGAGATTTTTAAGCGAACGGCTTTCCCTCGATCCTCTTCAGACAATGATATTCCTCATCCTCTCACCATCTTAGGACACGAGTACGTGTTCCTCCCAGTAGAAATGTAGCAGTAAAATTTTCCCGTTATTAGTTATTCAACCCAATAATTACAAGAGTTCCTAAAACTGACAATGATAGGACAGCTTTTACAACTAGTAGCATGCTTTAACGTAACCAAAACTCAATACTCACAGGAGTCTGTCAAAATTTAACCAGATTTTAAAACCTATAAGGTATCTGGATGACCCGATTAACTGAATGAGTCAAAATTATCAAAGAATGGAAGAAGTCATCCTTAACGGGCTAATTTTTCTGTTGTGAAACAGTCGGATTTTCTGGTTCGGGGATCTCAACTATAGGCTATACTTGGAGGACAATTCAGCCAGGCAGCTGATAAGGAAACTAGACTGGACAGCGTTGCAAGAATTTGATCAACTTCGTAGGGAACGAGAATATGGTGGGGTATTTCAGGGTTGGAAGGAGGGAGCTTTAGAATTTGCACCTACCTATAAGTATTCTTCATCAAATTGCAATCGCTATTCAGGTGGGCTTCCAAGCAGATCAGGAGAGAAGCAAAGGACTCCAGCATGGTAAGAACCACCAGAATCAGTTGTCTACCCCCCCGATAGGCCTCCCATGAGCCTTGATCAACAAATACCTTAACTTTCTTCTGCTACGTAAAAACTAAAGACGTAATTTAATTATGGTGGCAGGTGTGATAGAATTCTGTGGTATGGAAAAGGGGTGACACAGCTCTCTTATTTCCGGAGTGAAAGTAAGTTCTCAGACCATCGGCCCGTCTCTGCCCTATTCTCAACACAGGTAGATGTAGTGCAGTCTACTAATCCAAGAATGGTTTCAATGCATACCATTCTTCCCGCCATACCAACTCCTAAAGAAATTGTAAGTTTTCTCTAACAAGGTCAAGTTCAGTAAACTATATGTCATGTTCAATTTGAGTTTTGTAAGAAGATGAAGCTTTTGTTGTTGGAATAATAAGAAGAAATTTATCAATGCAGGTGCAGAGCAACCGTGATGAAGAGGCCAGTTCTACATTTTTATCATTGATCATAAAGGATTTCAAAGAATCACCAACACAAAATACAAGTTGTATAGAACAAATAGATGACAGTGGTTGCAGCTAGCATTTGGCAAGTGTGTTGTTTGATGCATGCTCTCCAATATAGTGTAGTAAGCAATTATCTATGATATAATTTAAAATGCCAATTCAGCAGTATGGAACCTTAAAAAACTCCAAGGAAAACTGTGGTCATTGATAAATTGCATATCGATTTATTGTTCTACAAGTTCTGATTTGCAGTACATTACTTGTTAGGTAAAACGAACATATAAAGTGTAGTGTAGTTATGTGAAGTAGATTACTTACAAAAAATTAATCTGCCTCACTTGACTGAATTAATCCACCCAGGACGTCCACATTGTCAAAATGACAACTGGGACATACGCATCTGCTCTGCAACGTCTCACCAATAGTAGCACAGATTTGTTCCAGTTCTGAAGTCTGCTTATTTCCCGTCAAAGGCAAAACTTATGTAGGTCATGCTCACAAATATGGTATTTAGGGCAAACTAGACCTTAAAATCCAGCATAGCAAATTAAATTCTTGACTTCATGACTAAAACAGGCATTCACTTCGGAAGCTTATACAAATAGCTCTTGTGGATTGGGTTGCATTCAATTATGGCAGTTTTCAAATGATGAAACATTCAAAACGGCCTACGAAGTGCATTTGACTATTCTCACAATCATTTATAAGCATTGGGACTGCTTTAAAATCCTTCGCCTATGATCAATAAATAATAGCCATATGGGATGCATAATTTTCTTGCATTCTAATTTTCTCAATGGTCGGGAGGAATAATATATTTTTTGCTTAAGCATTGAATAATTTCAGTAACCAATGCATTCTTGAAAAGGATATCTTGTCAAATCATGCACTTCTTTCGTTGCCTTGAACAACTCCTCCATCAAGAACACCTTCCTTTCACAATCACTCAGCACCTGCTGGACCTGCAGAGGCAGAAGTGCCATACAATCCAATTACTTAAGCTAAGCTTCTAGCAAACTGTAAAGACCCATTCGTAATGTTTCCAAGACCGATTTCTTCACCTGCTTTTGAGTATTCTGTTCAGCTTTGTATTCTTCTTCCGCTTTGGTTGTCTGAGACACCACACCAGCAAGCATATCCTCAAGTTCTCTTAAATCACCTTCAGTAACCTCCTCCTTTCCTAGCTTGGGATCTTCTTCTGAATAAAAAATTGCAATTTTATTTTAGTTGCTACCCACACTACATTACGGAATCATTTTGTTCCTCTAATGAGAAATATTTATTTTGAAGATTAAAAGAGAGACGGAGGAGTTTAGTCCATAACAAATAGAAGATTCAACAAATTGAATATGTCAAGAGATCAATTCTACAGGTTAATGGCAAAACGTATCACCTTCTGCACTTCCACAGTACTCTTCCTCATGAATATGGCCAGCAATTGACTCTTGGAACTTTCTACATTCACAGATTTTAACAAGTACAGTAGTAATTTAGTAACTGCAGGAAGGCACTGAACGCTTTTGAAACATAACTCACATCAATCACGTGAAAGTAGACTATAAACGGGGCACATAAATATGTCAAGTATTCCAAATTATCTGTGAACTTGTTACAAACTGCAGCTTGGTCGCGGTCGATCAAGTTGTGTACAATGTCAGTATTGATCTAAGCAAAATTCAGTAATATGTCTGTCAAGAATACGAAAACACCTTCTCTTCTCCTTTAAGATATGCATTAAATGGAGCATACAAGTACAACATTTTGCTTTTGAAATGAGGCTAACCTTATCTTAGCGTTGATCTCAAACATTTCGCTTATAAACTCGTCCCTGCGTAAACAATTATGGAAAATAGGAAGGTAAGCTATTGGAATATTTTGAAAAGAAAAACAGATGTGAAAAATAAAAGTAAAAACAATTGAGAGGAAAATTTCATACCTCGAAGCAGCTTCTTTGTTCTTTTGCAAGATCCAACAAAAACAATGTAAAATTAGGATCAGTAATCAAAGATTTTAGCTGAGAAAATTACAAGAAACTGAAACTTCAATTACCTTAAGAGCTTCTACTTCGGATCCAACGGCGGAAATCTCATCTTGCGTATGAGAAATCCTCAACTGAATTTGAAAATCCGATCGGAACCTAATCAAATTAAGAACAAAATCACTCAATCCAAACAATGCGCAAAAATAACAAACAAACCTCCAGCGTTTGAATCGTTGCTTCGTTCATCGCCAATTCGACTTCGAAGCCTTTGACCTCTTGCTCGGCGGTTTCCTTGGTGCGCTTGGCTTCTTCGAGCTCCGCATTTGCAATTTCCAGCTCGGATCCGAGCTCTTCGATTCGCTTCCTCAGACTTACCACTCGTCGCTCTGCATTTCTCAAATCATGCACATGCAAAGTCCTTTAGCTGAAGTTTGAAAATCAAAGAAATCGGAACTCTATTTTTCGTTTCCAGGTGAAAATTGATTTTTCAAATTTTCCTTTTCCTCAACATTTTCTCAGGAACCAAACAGAGTAGCGAATGCAGAACGGGAAAAGGTGTGCAGGTAAGGACTGTACCTCCGTGCGACTTTTCGGATGCGAAATCGTGAATTAAGTTCAGAAGCTGCTTCCGAGCGTCGCTTCCCGCCATGACTCGTGTGCTTCTTTTTCGCGCTTCTTCTGCAAATACGTAGTCTCAGACCATCACACCCGACCGCGGATGTTCATACTTATATGCGAGATCATAAATTCATATTGTTGTTTTAAGCCCAAGGCTAGGCCCACTTCCCTTTTTTCATTTTTGATGGGTCAGGCCCAAAAAAGGCCCACTACCAACACTTGGAAAAAGAAGGTCGTATTCAATTTTCAACAAAGGTGGTATTTGCTCATGCATCCGAAGTTTTGTGCTTCGAAGTTCTCACTAAGTTATTAATATTGTTTGCTAAACTACCCTTGTGTTTGAATTTCTCACAAAATATTTTCGATAATAAGATTGAGTTAATAAAGAAATTTTTGGCAAGTGAAATCGAATATAGTTGGGGAGGAAAATTATTTTCATTATAACTTTGTTAGTCTTAAAAATAGCAAAGCTTACGTGGCGTCTAGGCCAAAACGATTAGGAGTTAAATACGTTTTTTTCGATGGCTGGAAAGCTGATGCGTGCCAATTCGTTGCCTAGATCGGCCGGATGAATAACTTGAATGTAGTGAATGTGGTGAAATGCGCTATCTTGGGTTCTATAAACTATAACTTGAAGTCTATGTTATGCAAATCATTGTCAAGTTCTAAACCTTCTACACCAGGTTCAGTAGCCTATACTATATTGGTGAGAATATAGGTTCGTCGAATTGATATCAAGTTGTAACAAAAATACTCAAAAGGGATGATTGTCTTTATTGTAAAAGTGGTTCGAGCATTTGCGTGCCGAACTCTAAAGATAACTTGAAAGTGACAAATCACAAATTCACTTCGCCGAAAAAGCTGATAGAGTGACATCGAAAGAATTAAAAACTCTTTACCGGCTAAGACTTAAGATAAATAGTCAGCCAAAGACTTAGGAGAATGCACGTCTATCCAGTCAGTCGCTTTCCTGGTTACTTCTGGAAAACCTCGTCTATCTAGTCGATTGTCAACTCAACCTTATTTATCCAGTCAAAAGTCATGCTCATGGTTAGTGAAGCAATTAGTTTTGACATAAGTGTAGGAGATATTTATCATGTATAACATTGATTTTTATGGTGAGTTGAAAGTCTTTTTCTCTTTTCCAATACTCTTAGGGCCCGTTTGTTTTGCTTCACTAGGTTTCACTGGACTAGACTGGACTAGCTTTTAGTCTAGTCCAGTGTTTGTTATCATGCGGGGCTAAGATTAATGAGATTAGCCCGGACTCGCCGGGACTAGCAGCGTCACTAGAGGTTCTTAGCTAGAGTCCCCGAAAACCATGGGACTAGCTAAGACTTGCTTCGTTCCTCTGTCGCTCGTCTGCTTCCCTTCGCCAACTCCACCAGAAAACGGGTTTGATTTTTCCAAAAAAAAGCTCGATGACTCCGCTGTTGAATCACTGCGTGTCTTGCCGCACATACATCGGAAAAGCTTGGACTTTCACAACCTCCGCCGTTGAATCGTCGACTCAACACACCAACTCCCCCAACATGTCTCAAATCGTCGGGCTCCAACTCCGAAAAGAGTCTGGGTCGGCCGGATCTGGGGCCTGGGAAGATGACAGTGAATTGACAAAAAAAACAAAAAGAAAAAAGAAATACAAAATCGCTCAAGACTTTGGGTCCTTCTTGGAAGCTCAACTGCAGGAGAATTAGAGCAAGTTTCTTCCTTTTCCACGACTTGAGATAGGAGGCAGAGAGGGAGAGCGTAGAGAAAGAGGATGAGGGCAGGACTGAGAAAAATGAGGAATAAAAACAGAGGTTGATGGATGGAGAGGTTTCTAGAATTAGGAATAAATTATGAATTAAACTATATAATATTAGAATTTATTATTATTCTGCTTCTTAGTCCGACACTGCACCAAACGCTTCACTAAGCTAGTCCAGCTTAGTCTAGTCTAAGCCAGTCCAGCTTAATTCCTGAAACTAATCCAGTCCGAGACAGTTCGGTGCAACAAACGCACCCTTATACCTATAGGAGTAGGTTTCGTAATACTCCGGCCGGAGTGCATATCGTGTGTTTTCCACGTCATTGTGACTTTGTCAACAGCAAAGCATAAGTTTGTTGTAGGAGATTCATGCACTTGCCAAGCAATTTGGCTGAATAGGCTACTTAAAACACTTCATTATCAGCAGTAAAAGCCCAACAATAGTGTTTTGTGATAATATTTCTGCAATTAAGTTGTCCAAGAATTTAGTTTTACATGGCAAAAACAAGCATATAGATGTGAGATTTCTTTTTCTGCGTGACCTGTGGAAGGATAAAGTCATTGATATGATTCATTGCAAAAGTCAAGATCAGAATAATATTTTAACCAAGTTTCTCAAGTTGTCTGTGTATTTGAAGTTTGTATTTGAAGCGAAGGAAGGAGCTGGGAGTTTGTTCTTTGAAAGATACTGCTGGATGAAGTTATATTATGCACAAGAACTAAAGTCGTTTTCTCTACACCTGGAGAGCATTCAGCTTATAGGAGGATGTTAGGAATTAATTTTATTAATTTTTTTATGTTTAGTTATCTGTAAATTAATAAGTAGTGGAAGTCCTATTCTTTAGGAATCAATTTGGATTGCCTACAGATTAGGAGTATCTCGTTTATATTAGAGTATGCAGTTGTTACATATTTTTAGCTATTTTTGTTATTGGGTAAATTACATAGTAGCCCCTCAAGTTTGAGCTCTATTGCAATCTCATACAACATCTTTAAAACATTTCACTTTCATACCTCAAGTACTATTTTATTTCAATTTCATACAACCGTTAGATTTTCCATCCATGGATCTGTTAAATGCTGACGTGGCTGCCACATATATGACACGTGGCTGCCAAATGTCTGCCACGTGGCAAATAAAATAATTTTTTAATTAAAAAAAAAAAACATATCTGCCACTTTTTTTTTTTCTCTTTCTTCTTCTTCTTCTCTTTCTCTTTCTTCTTCTTCTGGGTTCGGACCTTTTTTTTTTTTCTTCTTCTTCTTCTTCTCCCTCCTCCTCCTCTTTCTTCTTCTCTTCTTCTTCTTCCTCCTTCTTCTGGGTTCGATCCCTTTCTTCTTTTTTTTTTTCTCTTTCTTCTTCTTCTGGGTTCGGACCTTTTTTTTTTTTTTTTTTTTTTTTTTTCTTCTTCTTCTTCTTCTCCCTCCTCCTCCTCTTTCTTCTTCTCTTCTTCTTCTTCCTCCTTCTTCTTCTGGGTTCGGTCCTTTTTTTATTTTTCTTTTCTTCTTCTCTTCTTTTCTCTTCTTCTTCTTCTTCTCTCTTCTTTTTCTTCTTCTTCTGGGTTCGGACCTTTTTTTTTTTTTTTCTTCTTCTTCTTTCTTCTTCTTCTTCTTCTCCCTCCTCCTCCTCTTTCTTCTTCCTCCTTTTTCTGGGTTCGGTCCCTTTTTTTTTTTTTTTTTTTTTTTTTTTCTTCTTCTTCTTCTTCTCCTCCTCCTCCTCCTCTTTTTCTTCTTCTTCCTCCTTCTTCTGGGTTCAGACCCCTTTCTTTTTTCTTTTTTTTTTCTTCTTCTTCTTCTTTCTTTCTCCTCCCTTTTCCTTTTTTCTTCTTCTTCTTTTCTCTTCTCTTCTTCTTCTTCTGGGTTCGGACCTTTTTTTTTTTCTTCCAATTTCAGGTTTTTTTAAAAAAAATTAAAAAATTATTTTATTTGCCACGTGGCAGACATTTGGCAGCCACGTCAGCATTTAACAGATCCATGGATGGAAAATCTAACGGTTGTATGAAATTGAAATAAAATAGTACTTGAGGTATGAAAATGAAATGTTTTAAAGATGTTGTATGAGATTGCAATAGAACTCAAACCTGAGGGGCTACTATGTAATTTACCCAACATAGTATTATAATCCTAGCTTATCCAATCCTAGCTAAGGAAGTGAAACAAACAGCAACAGTCCTGCCGCGATAACACCGACAAAATGTAAATAACACAAGATGTATCGTGGTTTTGTGCATCAACAGAGTTAACACAACATGTTCACGTGGTTTAATCGTGATCATTTAATAAAAGGATTAGAGAGGAGGAAAATTTAGAGGGAAGAGAATCATATTCCATTGAAGTTAACATGGAGTTATTGTTTTAACTTATTCGAGATGCATTATTAAAAGACAGATTAATTGGTGACGCAGAATGATAAACTAAACGTCTTGTATGTCTTGTAACTTTTTTAGTTCGCCTCCCACTATAAGATACCAAATTATACTTTTAACAATAATCCAATGGAAATGTCTACTCCTTGAGTTGAGTCCTTGTAGATATTTTAACTTTTGTACTTTGCTTTATATATATATATATATATATATATATATATATATATAGCAACTAGAACCATAGAATGATATTTTCCTTCCAATATTATTCTCAATGTCATGCCTCACATGCAAAATAAAATGTTTAAATTTCACTTACAAAACGTGACACTACATGCATTAAGTACTATGTTCCACCAACGTGAACAAATAATTTCCAGACTTCTCTATCCAAATCACTTTATAAATTGTTTGTCAGAATGCAAGCCAACTACCAATAAAGCAGGAGATGGATGCTAATCATGCTATCCAGTGGCCATTATAAACAAGAAGGCCAGCAGGTTTATTTTTGCATTACTAATTAGTACTGCTTGTCATCATCTCCGAGAGAGACTGAGAAAAAATGAGTAGTGCAGAGAAGAGTAGTAATGGAGAAAAGAAGAAGAAGAAAAACGGGTCGATACGCTCCATTTTCGCGCATGCAGACGGAGTGGACATGTTGTTGATGACTCTAGGGTTGCTCGGAGCCATTTTTGATGGATTCACATCGCGGTTGCTTGCCGTTCTCGCTAGCCGGTTGTTTAACCTTATGGGGAGAGCGGACAGACATGGAGCCTCAGATTTCGACGCACATATTTTGCACCGTTATATCAATAAGGTCTCTCTCTCTCTCTCTCGACCTTCCCACTCCTCACACATGCACAAGCACAAACACTGAAAAACGAGTACTGAAAACCCAATCTCAAGTTTGTAACGTTAGTTTCTGATCTCAATGGCCTCATGCAGGACGGAGTACTC